GCATCTTTTTGGAACAACAGGTGTGCCTATCTGCTAGTGTAATGTGACACACATGCAGAACACATGCAGAATCAGTCATAGCTAATTTTACCCCCTCACTGTTGTATGCGCAGACTCCACTTCGCGGTGTCAAGTACTCTTCTTTCGGTGGGCTACTCCACTAAGGCGCTTGTCTAAAAGGACTCACATTCATCCTGCAAACCAACACGACTTGCATAGTTTTCACTGTCGGCCAAAGTGCGTGCATTGCACACATTGAGATTCACTCCCTCCGTACAGGCCAGTACAGAGCTGCCCACCAATTGAGTCTGTTTTGCGTACTCAGACTTCTGATTTTCCGTATCTTGCAGTGTTTTGCGTACTGCCGTGTACATTGCATGCATACTTGCACTGTAATGTTTTTTGACACGCACATGCATGTCGGTGGCTGCATTTGGTAGTGTAAAACATGTGTGACTTGCACTCACGACATTATTATTTTTGTGCTACATGTACATGTTGTTGTGGTACGGCATGCACTCGCTTTGGTACAAGACTATTCATCACTCAGCTTACACTTGCAATGCTTCTACACAGCTGATTGATCCTCTCCGATTTTCTATACCATTTGCTCAATTTCTGTAGTGCGCACAAGGAGTGATTTTCCGTACAAATACAGAAAATATGGAGGGCTGGTACTTGGTAGCACTGCTAGTATGGTAGTACCAGGCTAAGCTGGCTAGAAGATCAAATACTTCTTTGGTTCTTTCAGTCATTTTCATGACATATGTTTTCTTTATCATGATCCCCGGGGTGTGACATTCTTATGAATGCAGAAACTCAGTCTTTCTAACCGAGTCTCACGTGCAATGTGAATTTGTTCTTCTTTTCTTCACAATGCCATGTATCGATTCATCGCTTCTTCCCACCCGAGATCTTATGCAACAGCGATTTAAAGATTGGCTTTATCAAATAGTTAATTCAGAGAGAGAGGATCAGTTGTGGATGCTGTGACAGCATAGAGTGTAGATTGGTGTAAACATCATTGCCCAGCAGAACCGTATTCACAGGGATCTGCGTTTAGCATATGGAAGCTATTTTTTAGAATTTGTACACGTCCAATAAGCCTGAAGAGAAGAACACCTAACTTAGACTGTCCTAACGTTATCGAACGCACTGCCAAAGTAAAAACAACATTTGAAATGCAAACTCGATTGTGCATGCATGGAGGGCATGGGGAAGAGACTGAGAGGGTGAAAGTGAAGGAAATTTGTTCCGAAATCAAGAGAATCCGAGGAACCCTTGCTGCATTCTTCAGTTCGATAACGTCAGTGGGTGAATCTCAGATGTGTTGTGTGCCCAGACATACAAGTACAGCACTAACCTGAGCATGAGAGCTGCTTGTCATCATCGTGGTCAGGAAAACGAAAGGACGAACGAGGAAGATTGCTGACCATGCATGACGAATAACTGCATATCTAGACGACAGACGGCTTGCCAGAATCAGTCTGGTGTATCTTCAGGAATCTTCTTTCCTAATCGCATTCAGCAGTCAGCTTCGAGGTCAAGAACGCGATGATATTTTCAGAAGGAATAATTTTCAAAAATTTTAAATTTTGGAGAAGAAGCTTCCTTTCTAAAAAAAAAGCGTTCCTTGCTTTCACGCAAGGAGGTGCCTTGCCGGACATGTCGTCGACAGCACAGTGTCGGCAGATCCACGTTTGTAGGCTGCAGACCCGGCAGACGTTTTGATCATCCCGGCCTGGTGGTGAGATTTTGGACCCGGGAGTACTAAAAAGCTGCTCGCATCCCAGGGTGCTCAGTTTCGCTCTACCCGCGCGAGTAGGGGTCCAGGTAACGGGCTCTCTTTCGCGGCCTGCCGAGCATAATATACCTCCCTTGGCCTGCGCCCTTGGCCGTACGCACTCGGCCTTGATTCAGCCGTAAAGTCCTGCCAGACCTCTATGATTGTCTACGTCGTACTAACAGTAGAGAGGTTTTGCATTCCGAATTTCGGAATTATTTTCGGAATGTGGCGGCAGCAGTCGAAAAAGTACAGTAGAGTAGTCGAACTTTCGGAAGTGTGGTGGCGAAAGTGCATGGTTTTCCGAAAATGGATTTTCGGCTCTTTCATGTTTGGGAGTGCATATTTGAATACAAAAAAGTGTATTTTTCATGTTTGTATTTTTGCTTTCTGCTGCTCTCGCTTATTTGAAAAAATTTCCACGTATGTAGTTTTGATTTTTGCTGGTTTTGCTGCTCTCGCTGATCTCGCCATGTTGACTAATCTTCTCACACTTCATCACACTCTATCTTCCTTTGCCCTGGAGCCTACTAACAGTACAAGACAGTAGTTCGCCAACCTCGTCTTCAGCTGTTGGATCACTTGGTCCACCATCAGTCCGTCCTCGTCTTCGAACCGCACCCAAATTCAGTTTGACCTGCGCACATGGATTTGATCCTGCTCAACCACTTCGACGCTCTCCATTTTGTTTTGCATGGCAACCCTTGGAAACGAAGTCGAATCAGATTTTCGGAATGCAAAACACTGAAAATACCGTTTTTCGGAACGCGCTTTTTTCGGAAAAGCACAGTCGAAAATCATTCCGAAATTCGGAATGCAAAACCTCTCTAGTAACTCTAGTTCTGAACCTTCAGATTCTGTACCTCAGTTGACCTGCGAACGTGGGAGTACCCGTACGAATTGCGTAGGTTCGAACTCTGAAGTGAACTCCAACACATCCCAGCACGGTGACAGTGTATCTAGCATACCCACTACACGCACAAAAGCACAGCAACCTACATCTACGCTGAGTATGGCCAGTGCTACTGCGGGCCCAAGCACGGAGGACGTCATCCAGGTACCTGAGGCAGTGACAGTACGAGGTGATTCGGAATTTTTTAACATTGAGTCATTTCTTAACAAATCGGTAAAATATCTCATTGCCAGCGCCTGCAAAAAGTCACGTCAAATTTCTTTTTGCCATTGCCATTGCCAATGTTCTGTCAAGTTCGCCTCCAAAATTGAGACTGATACTCCTTCAGGAAGTGACATTGCAAGAGTTTTCAGTCTGCATGTGCGCGATGTTTACGGTAAAATAGAGTATAAGAGAGTCATAGCCGCTGGTTTCAACCTCCAGTGACAACATATTTAGCTGTAGAGGAAGCATATGATAGCTACATACTGGAAACGACGCCTGGGAAGGAGGAATGTCGGTGTGTTGGCCCTGGTAATGGCCAAACATTGGCAATCACTGAATTTGCTAACAGATGTTGATCACAATTGCACATGAAATCAGGGTGATACACCTATTGCTATGCAAGCTTGAATGGCTTGTATTTGGATGAACATGATCTTGATCCAGTCTTGCTGGACCATCCTGGATACGTAGGGTCTCTTTCTATTGAAAACTGACTTGAAATTATGCTGCTAAGGCCTATTTTACCATGATGTTAAGAAATGACCACAACAAATAATATGAGGAAAAATTGCCATTTTTCAACTGCCACCTGCTTCCCAACACCAAGGATTATGTGAATGAGAAACCCAACATTGCAATCCAAGGACATCAGTATTACATTTTTAGAGGAAGAAATGGAAAGATTCGCACCTCGAACCCTACGGAAGGCTTTTTTACTTTCGTGTTAAATAATGACGAATCACCTCGTACGAGCTTCAGAACACCATGACACAGCCGTACCAGTCCCACCTGCCGCGGGACACGTAACTGAACCCGGTGGTAAGGGCGCGCTCACACTGCGACCATGAGCACGCGTCCATGCGTCAGCAAAACGCAGAAACGTGGGAGTCGTGCTCACACTAGGCCTCGTACACGCGTAGACGTGAAGTTGTCACACAAACTTTACGAATTGCAGTTCGTATCCAAAAGAGTTCATGCGTTTCCTAGTAAAGTTGTGGCCCGTTTTGGATGTAATTTTTCGCATGTTGCACGTTGGAGGAAGTGCCTCGTGGCTCGTATTCTTGAAGTCGACGAAAATAATTCATACAATCAGGTAGGTTTGGACCAGGGAGTCGTCAAATACCGTATTTGACGACTCCCTGGTTTGGACTCTTGAGGGACTGCCGCTGACATCCAAGCGCTTTCGCTTTCCTGACCTCGTGGTCAGAGCAAGTGCCAGTGCAGTGGAAATTCCGGTAGTTTTTGTTTTGTTTTTATTGGCAGTGGTTTCTTTCGTCTGTTGCCGAGATGAGAACTGTAGTTTCCGATGATATGTAACTGAAATGTCTTGAGGTATGGCATTCCATCATCGCAGAAAAGTAGAGAAAGATGATTTCCGAAACCGAAAAGCCGGACCAAGCTGCCATCGTATTGAACGAGTACACTGTAGAAATTGGTCACTGACCCGATCACAACGAAGCAACTACAAAAACAAATTCGATATCGTCCAAAAAGGGCAAAGAATGCATTATGGCGGTGCGTGCGTGCAGGACCACAACTACAACATTTAAAAAATGTGCAAATGTCGAGGTGACATCGACAACCGCCGATTTTCATGAATCAACACACCGGAATTTGAGAAATTGAACATACTTCAGGCCAGGTTGTACACAAATACGCTTCACGTCTACGATCATGTTGCCGCCAAGTCGTGGCACCCCCCTCCGGAGGTCGCGGTCACGATTTGAAACGTGGCCGCGACGTTTTGGTCAAGTTCATGCCGTTGCCATGCAACTTGGCCGCATGGCCGCATGGACGCTGGTTTTGGTCGCAGTGTGAGCGCGCCCTAAAGGAGACAACACAACTCCCCAGAAACCTTTTGTGGCTGCATCTTCTAACGACCACGCGCAACACAACAATAGCCTTGCGTCCAATACAAATGCAGTACATGTAACCGCTGCTGTAACTTCCACTCCAGCTCCTGGATCTTCTGTCCCTACCCCGGTGCAAGATTGGCACGTAGCAGGTGGAAAGTGTTCTACTTTTTCTCCAATAATCTTGCAACAAACCGCCTCCGCTTTTCCCTCTGTCGCGAACCGCTTTAGTGCGCTGGAGCACTCCATGGAGAGGAAGCGTAAGCGAGGAGCCAGGAGTGACGCATCATCCAGTGCCGACTTGTCCGCGAAGGCTGTCTGCCCGACCACCAAGACAGACGACTTATATGGTACTGGGTCGGACTGGGAGGAAGAGTGTGAGGGTGACGACGGCCGCGGTAGGAGCCGTCATGAAGTGGTGCAGTGAACTGCACCTTGAAATAGTATGCTTGAACTGCCTGTGTATTTTTGTTTTAGGTTTTGGATTAGTTTCTAGATGTAGTTCTTCCTTATAGATCTATTAAATGAATCCACAATTACATAGAGCTACTGTCGGTCGACAGAAGTCTTGTAAACTTGCTTTTCTGAATGTATGCAGCCTTAGAAAGAAGTTAGGCGAAATCCAAAACTTCATAAACTACCACAATGTAGATATCTTCGGCTTTGCTGAAACTTGGCTTGATTGTTCGATTTCTGACTCATCCATTCATATACCTCATTATAGACTCTTTAGGCGCGATCGCGGGCACAGACCTGGTGGCGGTATAGCTGTATACAGTCGAGATACCCTGGCTGTTTCCAGACACGCTGAACTCGAGAGTGACACAATCGAAAATCTGATACTCACCTTGAAGACAGAATCCGGTGAACCCATCATCCTCGCTACGTTCTACCTTCCGCCTTCCACTACTGCTGCAGTATGGCAATACCTAGAAATCAGTCTGAACAATCTAACCTTGCGACGAAACAACCGCGTGGTCGCCATTGGTGACTTCAATGTGGACATGTGCTCGGGACACAGCCGGATGCACACCATGCTCCAGCGGTTTGATCTGGAAAACCACATCCGGACACCGACAAGAGTAACGGCATCAACTTCCACCCTAATAGATCTGCTCCTCGCTCCTAACTCTCTAGTTGGAACATGCACGGTCATCAAGTGTGACATCAGCGACCACTACGCATTTGTGGCCAACATTATCGTCGCCACCCGGCAGTCCGAACGAGTCGCATCTCGAAAGAGGCGAGTGTGGAGGATAAACTGGGAGCATTTTAACGCTGACTTGCAGGACTGCAATCTTGAGATTTTCAGCAAGTCGAATGATGTTGATGCAATGATAAGCGAATGGTACGCAAAGGGTTTTACTGCTCTAGATCGTCACGCCCCCTTACAACCTCCTCGTAAGCCGAGGCGCCGACCTTGCCCATGGTTGTGTCCTGAACTTGTATCTGCTGTGCGTCAACGAAACAAGGCCCACCGACTTCTTTCACGCTCTCCAAACGATGTCCGCCTGCGAGAGCAACACCGCACTCTCCGCGCAGCCGCGCGCAAGCTAGATCGGAGGCTAAGGGATCAGTATTTTCAAGCTCGCCTACAGTCGGCCGGAAAGGATGGACGGAAGCTCTGGAATACGATAAACGTGGTGACTGGACGAGCGAAAAGTTCAAGCCCACCACAAGTACCTGTTGGAATCCTCTCCCGAACTTTTGGCGAAGTTGTACATGACCCTGGACGACCAGACGCGCTGTGCGCCAACGCACCAGCCGAACGTGAAGCATCAGCATTCACGGAATTTGCGCCTGTTTCGACGGAGGACATTAAGGCCCTTCTCCAGTCCGTTGACGCGTCAAAAGCAACTGGACATGATGACTTGCCGGGTATTGTCCTTAGAAACTCGGCATCAATACTGGCTCCCTCGCTCAGCATCATTTTCAATACTTCGTTATGTCAGGGGTGTGTTCCCCGTCAGTTTAAAATTGCTAATGTGTCGCCGCTATTCAAAGGTGGCGGCCTTGACCCTTGTCAGCCTACTGCGTATCGACCTATTTCTCTACTTGACCGATCACAGTATTCTCCCTGACTCGCAGTTCGCGTACAGGAAGAACCACAGTACGGAGGACGCTCTTGTGCTAGCTGTCAATCGCTGGCTGAAAGCGAAGTATGAGCGCAAACTCACAGGTGTGATATTCGTGGATATGTCGAAGGCTTTCGACTGTGTCAAACACACCATCTTGGCACAGGAGCTATCCGACATTGGGGTCGGCGGTACTGTCCAGCTATGGTTCACTAGTTACCTGAGTGAGCGGCTTCAACGCGTAGTCGTGGGCGGAAATTGCTCGGAATACGTCGCATGCAGTCGAGGGGTGCCGCAAGGATCCGTCCTCGGCCCCCTCCTGTTCACACTATACATCCGTAACCTTCGATGCTGCTTGCCCCAGCAGGTCACAAACCAGGAATTTGCAGACGACATTGCAATTGAAGCCTCGTGCAGTTGCGAACAAGTGTGCTCTTCTCTAAGCACAGCCATCACTGGCCTGTCGCAGTGGTTGGAGGACCGCGGACTAATGCTGAACCAAAAGAAAACGCAAGCTCTGTTGATTACCCCAAGAGGCCCAGCCCCTGACACAGATAACATTCGAATTCGCTGTGGGAATGCAGCCCTTGCAGTTGTGGAACAAGCGCGGTACCTGGGCGTAATGGTAGATGGGCAGCTCTCCTGGGAGCCTCACGTCAATCACAAAATCCAGCAGGTGCGGAAGTCAGTAGGTGCGCTGTGGCGGAGCCGCCGAAGCCTCACCCTGGCGTCAAAGATCCTGTTTTACAGGTCGATGATCCAGGGTAGGTTGTCGTACGCTTCCAACGCCTTTTATCCGTCACTTCAAATTGGCAACATGGAGCCCCTCACACGTCTAACGAAGTGCGCTATCCGCGGCTTCTTCGGTCTGCCACCGTGGTCGCGCACGAGCCCGATCTTTGAACAGCTCCGCCTCACCACCCTGGAGGACATGTTTAACATTAAGCTCCTCATCTTTGTCCGTCGTTGTCTGTTCTCCCGACTAAGCTCCCTCTTCACCAGCTTCTTCGTGAGAGTTACTGGTGACCGCACTCGGGGAGCAGCACAACACCTCGTTCGAGTACCATTTTGGCCCGGTCCTGCGGGTCGAGCGACCATGCAGTTCATCGGCGCAGTCCTGTGGAACCAGCTCCCGCCTGATCTCCGTTCCGAGCCCAGCCACCTTAAGTTCTGTGCCCTGCTAAAAGCGCATCATGGCTCCGTTTAAATGCTTTTCGGCTAGTGTGTTTCTGTGGTATAGCGGACTGAAGAATAGTAAACGTGTTTTGCAATATATGTATGAAGCTATTTTGTATATAGTATGTTCCCATTCCGTTTTTGCTTTGGTGTAGCCCTGAGGTTGATTGCTTATTTATTTCTACCCTTCCTCTCTCCATACTTCTGTCCCCCCCCCCTCTCTCTCTCTCATTCCTTCTGTCGTCCACATGTATCAAAGGAGGCGAAATCGCCTGTTTGTGGTGCGACGTTAAATAAACTTCTACAACAACAAGCATGTCTGGGCCAGTTGAAAAGTGGAGCTTGTAGAGAAAGCAGAGTGCTCCGACCATTCTGCGGATGTCCAAGCTAGGGAGGTAGGCTCCATCACCGATTAGGTGAAGGCCACGGCGTTGGATGGCAGTGAGGCGAGCCAGAGTGGTGGGTGCAGCGCTCATCCACACGAGCATGCCGTGCTCCAAAACCGGGCGGACAAAGCCCTTGTAGATCACTCCACGGCACCTGGAGTCCAGCACTCGTGAGGCTTTCCGGAGGAAGCCGAGACGTTTTACGGGCAAGATTAAAATTAAAAAGCAACACTACGTAAGGGCGCGTTTGGTTGGTACGAACTAGAACAGGATTCACCAGAACAGCGCGTTTGGTTGGGACTGCACCTGTTCTGGGTCGGCCAGAACATGTTCTGCTTGCTCCGGCCTCGAGGCCGGAGCAGACTGAGCAGTTTCACTTTTTCACAGTGAAACCATCGCTGCATCGCAGCCACAGGCCGCCTACTCCGCCTTCACACAGGGCCTGCAAAACAAGTGGTCCTTCCTCTGCCGGACCTCCTCCATCCCGCCGTCCCTGCTTGAACCGCTGGAACACGCAATCAGCGGTCGGCTCATCCCGGCCATCACGGGTCAGGCTCCACCTGGGACAACTGTTCGCTCCCTACTCTCTCTGCCTTGCCGGCTTGGGGGACTGGGTATGGCAGACCCTTGTTCAGTGGCTGAACAGTACACCTCATCCCGAAGGATCACGGCTAGCCTCGTGTCTCGCCTGCTGGAGCAGGAGTCGTCTCTTGGCGACTCTCTGACTCAGCTCCGGACGTTCAAGGCGACGGTTCGGGCCGAGAAGCGGAGCGCGTTCAAGTCTATGGCTGACGCTCTTCGCTCGGATCACCGGGAGCTGGCCCCTGTTCTCGACCTGGCCTCAGAAAAGGGTGCATCCAGCTGGCTGACCTGCCGCCCCCTCAGCCGCCATGGTTTCACACTCAGCAAGGGAGATTTCCGGGATGGCCTGTGCCTCCGGTACGGCTGGACACCTCCTCGGCTCCCAAGCCTCTGCGTGTGCAGTAAGCCGCTGAATGTGAGTCTCGCCCTGTCGCGCCCGTTTGGTGGCTTCCCGACGCTGCGACATAACGAGGTGAGGGACATCACCGCCAGAGCTCTAAGGCAGGTCGCTCACAACGTGACAGTGGAACCCCACCTCCAGCCCGTCACCGGAGAGGCCGAGACCGAAATGGTCGGAGGAGTGCACTGCGCCTGACCAGCACAGCTCTTGTAGCACCTACTACTTCTTTGTTGTCTTTGTCTCTTTTATTACCCCTATTACTTTGTAGGGATGTGCACATAGTATATAATAAAAAATAAATATAAAAAGGCCTTCCGCCATCGCACAGCTGTCACGGGCTGGACATTGCGGCTAGTGGTGTGTGGGGTGGCCGATTCGAGCGCATCTTTATTGATGTACGGGTGTTCAACCCTTTTGCGTCTTCGAATCGTGCCACCTCCCTCGCTGCTACTTACAGACGCCATGAACAGGAAAAGCGCCGGAAGTACGAGGAGCGAGTACGTGAAGTTGAGCATGCCTCTTTCGTGCCCGTTGTGCTTTCTGCCTCTGGTGGGTATGGCAAGCATGCCAATGCTCTTTTCACGCGGATCGCCTCTCTCCTGGCTGAGAAGAGTAAGGAGCCATACGGGCAGATTATCTCCTTGCTGCGCTGCCGCCTTGGGTTTGCCCTGGTGCGTTGTGGTGCTATGTGCCTGCGTGGCTCAAGGAGCATGTTTGCTCCTGCCGTGCCTGAGTCCCCTGCTGTGCTAGTGGCGGCGGAGGCACGTATCCAGTGAACCTGCATAGTGCAGTGATCCTACTGAGTGACAGACTCTATAAATACTGTATCTGATGGTTCGTTTTATGTGTTGATTCTTCACAAAATGTGTTATTTTGCCCGTACAAGAGGCTCAAAGAGTGAAAAAAAAGAAAAAAAAAGAAACCTGGCGGGAACGATTTCGGTCCCAAATGATCACGTGCATACGCTTTTGGGTTGGACTCGTCGTACCGTACAAAGTGACCATGGTGACCCACACACATTTTGAAAAATGCACCAAGTTTGGCACATTTTTCCACAAAAATGTGCTCTGTTTCTGGAGTACCGTTTGGTTGGCATGAGGCTGCTCCATGTGCACCAGCTGTTCGATCCTGTTCTAGATCGTACCAACCAAACGCACCCTAAGTGAAATACCGAGCACCTTACGTAGAATAGCGGTGTGGTTTTTCTTGCCATGTGAACAATAGAAAAGCTGACAGGATCGCTTTTCTAAATAAAACATGATGGCCTAATTATGGACTTACATGTATTTGGTCGGTGTACGAGTCACTACGAGATGCACGAACAGTTTTCGTAGGGTGACTTTGTCATGTAACGTGCGTACTGAATGCAGCAAGTAGAACTCGCCCATCCACCCCTAGGCCCTTGGCCCTCCCCACCTGAAAATACTCGAAGCGTCGAGGAGGTAGGGGCGCTCTGGCGGGATTTTACGGTTATCGCCCCTCCCCCGAGACACACACATCAAAGCACTGTAGAATGGGGTTGCATTTTTGTTGTTTTGCCATGTGATTATGCAATCACCATTGTGAAACGAGGGTTGCCTGCTGCTCCTCGTTGATACCGGTAGTATTGTAAAAAAATCAAGCCCATCGATCATCTGCTACTGCTAGCTAGCTGCCAGAACTGATGATGACACTGCGATCGCCACCTCCAACTGCTGAGGTCAGGTTCTTCTTGCCTGTAGGCTGTGTAGCACCACCACAGCTTGGTCCACCCTGCGTTGCCCCGGCATCGTACTCTCGTACACAGCCGCATGCCGCACTCTCGCGTGGTGGTGGCCTTCGCAATTCGTGAGTATGGCTGTGTTTACATGAAGCGTTTCAACCCGGGTTGAGTTCGACCCGGGTCAGATTTCAACCCGCCATGTGCACAAAGTGAATGGCGCGTTTACATGACGCATTGCGCTTGACCCGGGTTGAAATTTCGCCCCGGGTTGATTTCAACCCTCCCCCCAAGGGGAGGGTTGAAATCAACCCGGGTCAAGAAAATCGTACAAACGTACTTCTGTGCGTATCTCGCGCCAGGTTTGAACAGCACTGCAGATGCAAATTTCGCGCGAACGGATTCACGTGACCATACAGGACTGTAGAAGTGGACTTTTGGCGGCATATCAGTATTTGACCCGGGTCAACTGTCTTCATGTAAACGCTCACCTCTTTTGTTTGTCGTACAGACTTTCAACCCGGGCTGAACTCGACCCGGGTTGAAATTTCTCATGTAAACACAGCCTATGTCTAACACCATTATTTTGCGCTTGCCACGCGCTTATGCGGCCCATGCTGGGTCCTCTATTTTCTGTCTTCCTGCCCGCGGCCGCGCGCGGCCCAATTACCTGGTGAGCTCTCGCGCCTTATTTTCCATGGTGGTGTCTGTTATCGTGGGTCCGATGGCCACCGCGTACCGGGGACTTCGCCTTTTCCATACGTGATAAGCATTTCTCCGCCATACCGCCGTGGAGGAAGTACCAGTGCGACAAACTGCTGTCGACTTTTGTTTATTTTGTCCCTTTTTGGCGTTCTCATTAATCATTGTGTACAACGATTACGTATACACATTGAGTGTCCGAGTTCAGAAGGCAAGCGTGCACCGTACATCGAACAGTTGGCTCGATGAAATGAAAATCCGCCATATATGGCGGATTTTCATTTCATCGAGCCAACTGTTCGAGTACGGTGTACGCTTGCCAAACCGCCTAGCCTGTCTCTGCCTGGCACTGTACTAGTCCTTTCCCCGTACCGCCTCGACCTCTTCCCCGTACCGCCTTGTTGCAGTTTATCTTGCATGCTCGGTTTCATTTAGAAAAGCGATCCTGTCAGCTTTTCTATTATTGTGTTCACATGGCAGAAATGTACTGTGCATTGCCGCTCGGCTGAAGTACGCGCGCTGCAGCTGGAGCCCTTTCGTGCCACGAAAGGACCTGCTTCCTTAGGCGGTGTTTACATGAGGCGTTTCAACCCGGGTTGAGTTCGACCCGGGTCAGCTTTCAACCCGCCATGTGCATAAAATGAATGGCGCGTTTACATGACGCATTGCGCTTGACCCGGGTTGAAATTTCGCCCCGGGTTGATTTCAACCCTCCCCCCAAGGGGAGGGTTGAAATCAACCCGGGTCAAGAAAATCGTACAAACGTACTTCTGTGCGTATCTCGCGCCAGGTTTGAACGGCACTGCAGATGCAAATTTCGCGCGAACGGATTCACGTGACCATACAGGACTGTAGAAGTGGACTTTTGGCGGCATATCAGTATTTGACCCGGGTCAACTGTCTTCATGTAAACGCTCACCTCTTTTGTCTATCGTACAGACTTTCAACCCGGGCTGAACTCGACCCGGGTTGAAATTTCTCATGTAAACACAGCCTGTAGGCACCATGCATGAGCCCTGTCATTCTTGCATCAATACTAGCACTACAACCTTCATGCAAATATGGGGTAGTCTCGCCTGTGCAGGCGTACACTATAGTATAGTGCTCATGGTGCAACCTGGGCTTTCCCTAGTACGGTTGCCCGCCGTTGCATGCCAGACACCCCCATTGTTGCGCGCCTAGCCACGCGCGTGGCTTTTGCCTGCTGCTCGGCTGTCCGCGATAACTACGGTTTGCCGTACGCTGCAAGGCTATACGTATAGTATATGTTCCACTTCGTGTGGATTGTTTCGCAGGACCGGTGAGCTTTTTCTCATCCTAAACGAGAGAGAGTGCAGTCTCTATAGATTAGTCTAGAGGTGAAGGCCTGACAGGGCCAAGACGAACAACTAGTGAGACAGGTTTTGGTCACCCTTTGAGTAAAATCTGATTCAGCGAAATCTTATTCTTTGCAAACCACGGAGGTGGTTGTCGCCTACAGTAGTGCAACAGTCAGTGTACACGTATCGTATCAGGTAGTTTTGGATCCGTCCACCAAATCTAACACATTCTAGTCGATTGACTCATAGGCAGCCTTGCTGAGAGCTAGAACTAGAAGTATTTTTTACTATTGGTGGTGAAGTGGAACTGGAAGAGCTCATCTTGACAGTGGAACGTCAAGTACCAGAATTCAGAATGCTACGTGTGACCAGTGGCAGTGCAAATGGTCAACAACGATGGCGCTTGGACGCATCGGCAAAAGTTCTGATTCAGCTGCTGTTGTACGTGTTATATGCTGGCAGGTGTACGGCCCAGCAGCAGAATGGTAAGAGAATATCTGGTGAGATACATGTAGCTCTGCATTAGTAATACAATCATGTATAGTGCTGCTCAATGAAATCCAGTTACGTCCCTCAGGTTTGCGCCTTGCATCATTTCGCAGCCCAGTATTCTCAAGTCTAGGGCTGCGGAACGCTCAGCGCGTACTTGAGTGACGCGACTGGATTCATGGAGCAACACTGTACTGTAAAAGCAGAAATTCACAAAATTTAATAGTATGCAATATGTACATGTATATAAAAATGACAGAAATGCATTGCAGATATGCCTGTGCATAATATAATGCATATGGATTCCAGATGTGTATGTGCATGTTTCTTGCATGCATAGTTCAAAACAAAGGTCGTGCATCGCAACTACACCGCCGCAATGCGGCTACAATGTGCAATGACCAGCACGCGTGGAGTAGCCCAGAGGTCTGGGCATGTGACACAGACATGTGTCATGCATGCCGGCACTCAGCCCGGCTGATACAAGAGGAAATTTGTTATACAGTACGTATCGCCTATAAGGTTGGCGGTTATAGTGATCAACTTCTCAAATTCATTTTCATTTGCCATAACTAAGTTGAGAACGAGGTCTGTCTCGTTGTCCAGGAAACGACCAATCAGCGACATTCCGGCCAAGGGCCTTATCAGAGTTTAACGCCCGCTCAATCTTAATTTTGCTATTCTTGAGGACGCGTTGAGAGCCTTGGATTAGTTTAAAGCCCGCCGAATATACTCTAAACTGGTGCGTACAACTTCCTGTATGCATTATAGTACGGTGCAGATAATGAACTCTGCATAAAATGTATGGTGTACTACTAAAAGTTACGCATTTCAGAAGCGTGTTCGGTTTTTTGCCTCCCATACTCTTTCATCTGTACGATATTCCTTTGTCAACAGGTGGCGGAACCCTATAAAAACCAAAGATCAGTCATTCTAGGTACCAGAAAGGGGCTCTCAAAGCCCCTAAATAGCTCCACAAGCTATGAATAAGAATGAAGCTGGCAATAAGAGCCCAACATTTCATTTGCTTCTATTCTACTTTCAGTAGTCCTCAGTGGTGCTGTCCAAATTGCCTCCTTGATGAGGATATGCTGATGTTGTGTGTCAGTAGCCTTGTCTGCACAGGCATGATCTGATGATAGGGTGTTGATTTCTCACAGTATGAGTACACAGCATGTACAGTACACTGCAATCAACTACTAGTATGCAGTGTGTATGTGTACGGCAAGCTGAGTCTTTTCATACCACACTCACATACCGTAGTACAATCATGCAGCCGGTATCGGTCATAGTAATAATTATATTGCTTATAGTGATGAAATGCTCAAAATCAAAGACCAACACTATAGGCGATACTGACTGTATTTGATGCATTTTCAGGTCTTCAAGCACCAATAAAGTGTAAGTAAATTCGATCTGTCGTTATTTTCGAGGTCGTCATACCCAATCTATAATGTACAGGAAGGGCTTGCTTAAGGATTTGGGCAACAAAAACTTGTCGCTAAACCCGATTTGTCGTTATATCCAAGGTCGTTATATCCGATCTCCTCTGTAGTACACGTACCTGTGAAACGGGTTTACCGAAAAATTCCCTCCACTAACCGCCGATTTTGGAGAATACTGAAAAAATTTCAACACCGAAAATTTCTGCTTTTACAGTAGTTCATTCTGTAATCATGCAGTTTAGGGTCCCACAATTATTCCGAACTTTCCTGGTATTCTGTGAACTGCCACGCGTACTTGAGAGTACATGAACCCCAGGAACCTTGCCAACCAAGATCAAAAACACAGTATCTGGTGACATGGACTTTATTTTCATCAGAACGGATCAGACTGGGTACTGCCGGTGAATGCTGCGGAGCAGGGAGCCAGCGGTGTTTTCTTCCGCAATAATGCTGCTAACCTTGATCATGCATCAGCCAGAGTGTCACTCGATGCCCCCGAACACCCAGTGCCCTTCATGTCAGGCGCCGCGATGATACTTGCAATGGAAGTACTTGCTTTCATCGATCTCGACGATGACGGATTCACCATTATCGTCCACGCCGCCGAGCTGCTGGGGATTGTTGACGATGTCCTGGGTGGCGAGGTCACTGTCGACTACAGTATGGTTGGACATGCCAAGCTCCTGGATGGCAACATCTTGAGGCGTATCCTGGGCCCATCAGTATGAAAGAAAAATGATCTCTCGGAAAGTCAGATGGCTTCCCTCGAAGAAGGAACCACCGCGAATACCCCTTGCAGACAGTAAACTTTGCTAATAACGACTAGGGATATAACGACAGTTCGCGAATAACGACAGAATTTTTCATGCCCAGAGCAAAGTCCTATCTATCTAACTACATTTAACTTCAGATAGATCGAGTATTTCGCTCCTGCTCTTGTGTGGGGTAGTGCCTTTGCTGTTTGCGTGATGCAGAGCTCACTGACTTGTCAATTTGAGCACTCTGGCAAGGTACGTTCGGGCCTGGTTTAAATCTGGCTTTGGAAAATTTATTTTTCATTGCTATCAAATTCGGCCTCACGCACACACACACGCACACGTGCAGACACACACACACACACACACAGAGTATACCATTTATTTTGTGGAAGAAAACGTTCTGGAACCAAACCTACTTTGCTACTTTGTTTTGTTACAGGAGTGTGCATATCTTGTTATTTATTGCTGGTGTGTTCATTGCTGTTCATCAATTTTCTATGTGTTAATACAGTGGACACGTGGGTGGATTGTGGCAATGAAGGTGAAGTGTTCGTTACAAGTACCTCCAAAACCTGGGATGGCGGTGAAGAGTTCTGCCAGACACTCGGCAGCCACCTGGTCAGTTCTCCTCAAGTTACAGCCTGCAAAGCTATGCTAGTGGGAATACTTGGAAAGGTGACAGTCCATATCAGCTACACAAGATTGCTCGATAAACTTCACTTCCGCAATGTTGGAAACAATTTAAAAGTTTCTGACAACACCGTTACTATCTATCAAGACTTGAATGATTGTTCCAGTCAATATCTTGGGGATAATTCACAGCCACAGGACGCGCATTGCATGACACCGCTTGCTATCGTTTGCGGAAGGAATACCAGTAAGATACTAATAATTGGTGTTGTGAGAAAGATACTAATACCGTATGTCCGCACCTTTTTAAAAATCCATGGAGTTATATTCGATTATAAAACCAGTCTCAGTTATAAAGCCATGGGCTTATATTCGATTATAAAACCAGTCTCAGTTATAAAGCCATGGACTTATATTCGATTATAAAACCAGTCTCAGTTATAAAGCCATGGGCTTATATTCGATTATAAAACCAGTCTCAGTTATAAAGCCATGGACTTATATTCGATTATAAAACCAGTCTCAGTTATAAAGCCATGGAGTTATATTCGATTATAAAACCAGTCTCAGTTATAAAGCCATGGACTTATATTCGATTATAAAACAAGTCTCAGTTATAAAACCATGGACTTATATTCGATTATAAAACCAGTCTCAGTTAAAAAGCCATGGACTTATATTCGATTATAAAACCAGTCTCAGTTATAAAGCCATGGACTTATATTCGATTATAAAACCAGTCTCAGTTATAAAGCCATGGACTTATATTCGATTATAAAACCAGTCTCAGGTATAAAGCCATAGGCTTCGTAAATGAAATGACATATGTTTTGAATAAATGTAGGAATACGTACTATGCTAACAAACTTACAGCCCAGGAGGAAGGGTGAACAGGTGGATTTAGATTGCAGTTTCTGTGTGGACTTTGACTTTTATGGCATGGCGTAGTGGGTGAGTCATTTTCCATCTACATAGCTAGGAAAGCAGTGGTATTTCGAATATAAGGCCATGGCTTTAAAGGCGCTGCTGACATACGGTCATGATTATAATAATGATTTTTAAGTGATAACCCTTTCTCTACTGAACTCAATATATGTGGAGAATAGTGCTCTAGGCATGTCGAGGTGATCTACTACTGAAAGAAATGTCATGTGTTTAGAGAAGAGTACAAAGTTACAAAGAAAGGAAACAAAGCAAAGGAGCACATCCAATGATTGCGAAAATCAGGGGCTGGTATGCCATCAGTGTAGTGAATGTATGGGCAAAAGTACTGGAAGAGGGGATGTTTGAATTCGGGGAGACAGATTATAGAAGTGAAAACTGGCGGTAAGCAGTTCCATAGCCGATGCTGGCTTTGTGGAAAACCAGAGGGGAAAACACATACATGACAGTAGTTAAGAACATTCAGTTTGTTCGGTTTTCTGGGACTCAAAGACACAGACATGAAGGAAGGTTCAATGTAATGTAACTAAAGAGGAGATTTGTGAAAAAAAATGTAAGAACTCAAGGTCACAGAGGTCACTTGATTGTGACTTTGTTTCATATCTATCTAATCACGGTTACTTTCTTACTCGTCAAAAACATCCCTGCTACCTTTCAAGATAAAATTATCTCAACGCTCCAGTTCAGCTTTGGTAAGGATATACATGTAGGGCCAGGCTGAGGTGGCATGTTCCAGAGGCAGGTGGACATGACCTTTCTACAGATTAGTAAGGCATACTAAGGGGCCAAATGCCAAGTTTTTTTGCCATAGGGCAAAGTTTGAAAGAATGCAACACAAGAAGAAACTAGAAAATATGCTCTCTGGCGATCGACCAGATTTTTATGGAGCGGCTCTTCAGGTGCCTTTGGATCTCCCATGGTCCCAGTACATGTGTAATGGGTGGGGAAATGAGAGCTTGGATCTCTGCTTTCCAATGCACTTTGAATCGTGTAAATCCGTCGAGTTTGAGAAAGGAGGTGAACGAAAGGGTGAGATGAAGTTGTGGGAATCTGAGGCATCGTAGGGAAGCTTGGAGAGGATATGGAAGTAGCCCTGACATGCTTATTGTGCTGAAAACGTTACGGAGAGCTTGATTTGATAAAATGATCTTTCCAATGAGCCATGGCTGTAGGGACGCCACCACCCTCTGTGGATCACGACGCAGATGCAGCTCCACCAAGGTAACGAGATAATTAACCCTTTACCGTTTGTACGTACAAATTTTGACCGCTCGCGGTCGATGACTTCTATGCGCACAGCGCTGGACTGGTTCACCGCAGAGAGCTGGGATTTTTCCTACTGGTAGCCAGATGTACGCGCAGAGGGTGCCGAGAATTTTTTTTGTGTTGCAATATAAAAAAACGTGAAAATCGCGACTTGAAAAATGCTCTTTGGGAAAAGTGCGTACCCTGCGACTTTTGGTATTGCCTGCAGATTATTTCGACTTTTGCGCTTTGGGAAAAGTGCGTACCCTACGACTTTTGGTATTGCCTGCAGATTATTTCGACTTTTGCTTGAGCTGGCCTCACGACTGTCTGCCCTGCTGTGCAAGCCATGGACGCGGAGCAAGCTCTTTCGCTTCTGGAGACCCTTCCTGACGACTCTGTTGCTGCCTCATCCAGCGAAGATGAGTTTGTTGAGCCAGACAATCCTGTTGAAAATATTTATTCTGACGATGACCGCGACGATGACATGGCGAGAGAAAGCAGCGCCAGTGAGAGTGACATGGATGTCACAGACAACGACAGTGTCGCTGAGATGAGTGCCACTAATGGTGGAAGGGGGACGTGGCAGAGAGAGAGGATTCGGCCGTGGAATAGGTCGTCGTCACGTTAGAGGTCGTGGTGCACAGGTACTATATACAGCCAGCGGTGCAACCTGCACTAGTCGATATTTGCAATACTTGGGACAATGCTGACACCGCTGTGACTGGTAACACTCCTGCATTCCACCCAGAGAACGAACCCGGTATCCACTTACCTGAGGGAGCCACTCCAGTGCAAGGATCTGATTTATTGCATATTGCAACAGTTTGACCGATCGGCAATAAACCCAAATAATTATTAGTGCTAAATAGTGAAATCTGTGTTCGTTTTCTGGACTTGAAAGTTGTTGCATCGCATTCCTGAGGGTTTTTACTTTCAGAATCACCCCATTTTGTACATAATAAAAGTGAAAAATAAAAATGTTACGGCATGAACAATGACGGTCGGTTTTTGCTGTACAAATACCTAAAACGGTAAAGGGTTAACAGTCAGATAGTGCGACAACAAGGCACAACACTGACAAGAACATTGAGACATTCGACGACCTGACACCTAGCTCTAACACATCTACGAAGCGCAAACCAACAACCTTCCAACTTGGAAGGCTCAGGTGCGGAAAGTTCCAATGAGGGGAAGGGATTCGCCACGAAGATGTGCACGAGCTGTGTCCCTTGGCTACAAAGAATGTAGAACGTTACGGGATGATGATGATGATGATGAGACTAGTAAGAACATTGGATACACCAGTCTCACTACAACTGGATGACGCAAGGCAACAGACCACTCAACTTGGACGCTCAAAGGTATGTAAAGCACATAATGAGGGAAGCCAAGCGAAACGTGGACTTTAGTAAGATATTGACTTTCGGTTCTCTCTCACACTTCACATTTGCAACAGCAAAACCACAGTGCAGGGTCGGCTGCAGACAGCTACATTGCAAGACAAATTGCAAGCGCTGTTTGACAGCGCTCGCTCAACAACGATTACGTCACTACAGTGACGTCAACCTGCACTGCGTGCCACAACAAAAATCATACAGTTAGCAAAAAACAAGCTTCGCAAATATTCCAACTTTGAGAGAACATTGCTTCTCGTTTCTTTCGAATCCTCAGCCAACGAGAAGCGTACACTTTGCGACAGTTCGTCTTTGCTTGGATTCCCCACTTTATGTACTTATGTACAACGGGTTTTATAAAGTGTCTCAGGTTTGAACAAGTGTTATACAAACTCTTGGCAGAAACCATACCTCTGCGTAAAGTATAGCACTGTCTGAGATGACATGATTGTATATCCGTTCTACTGTTGTTTGTGGCTGTAGATACACAAGCAGCTTCTATAGTGTGTGACTCACACACGTATACATACCATAGCATCTCATTCTCAGCAGATCATGCAAACCAGACGTGCTATCAACAATATGGTGGGCGTCCATTGTCTACAGACGGGCAGGAACTCAGCTGTGCCTCAAAACTGCTGAACACATCGCAAGTCTTGCATGACAACAACGTCAGCTACATACCGGTATATACCAACGCCACTAATGGGTCTCATTGCACTACCTACCAACCATCAACCAACACAGAAGGTCAAGACTCCTGCACCGCAGCACGTCCCACAATCTGCGTGTCTCGTAAGTGCCCCGCTCTGCTAGCATCAAGTGGCGTACTCTATGTATGCGTGTGATAAATTCTGCACAGGATTTCAACACACAATGGACTCAGCGATCTCAGCAGTTGTTTTCTATCACATTGATCAGAGTAATAGTTTTTAGTCATCCTTGAAACGAATATGGTTCATTTTGTACTCTGACCCCCTCCCCACCCTCCAAAATGAACGCAGCTTGCTATGCTGGACAACGAAAATAGCATGTTAATTAATATCAAGAGTACATAACTCTTGTTATGTTATGTACTCTTGTTAATATGTATGAACGTTGTCAGTCGACTTGAGATTTTAGCTGAAACCACTTGCCCTCAAATGAACGATGTTCGTTTCAGGGACGACAAAAAACCATTTCACTGACTCCTAAAAAACAATAGTATTGACTCTGTGTGTGTACTCAAACAGATATCATGGTCTGCTTTGCACAACATCACTGACTGTAGAATTTCGTCAATAGAAGTGTCGTCGGGGTTTTTTATGCCTCAACGATAGCCCTTCCGATTACTCTCTTAGTCTTACATCACACGTACACGACACTCAGAGGACTGATTATTGTCGTTACTCCAAAGAGAGTCTCAAGGAGAAGGCAACAAACAACAAGAATGCGTACAATAATATGCAGGAATGCGCAACCTGCGCAGTCCATGCGCGGTCCGCACATCGACCACGCGGACCCAGCACACACGTGCCAAAGGGGCACAAACCCTCCAAAAGGGCAGGGACAACATACGTCCACATAAAAAAAAAGAATCCTCTCCTGAGGATGGGAAAGAAGAAAAACAAAACGAGAAGACAGACAGGAGAAGAAGACAGGAAGAAGAAAGAAATGAAACATGCACAACATGGATAGGCGAATATATAAACAAAAGAGGCACAGGCGAGACCGTTGGGCAAGTGACGAGTAGGCTAGGAGGGTTGACACCAGCCGGGAGCCCCGCGAAACTGTGCAACAATGAAGGAATATGCAAGCAACAGTTTCAAAGAGGACCCCGGCTGGCGAGCTGCTCCATCTGTTTATGTCCTATCCTTGTAGGGATCTTTTCCAGAACAGCACCAACCTAGGACACCACTCACCCAAAGGAAACGACGAACAAAAAATACAGAATGAGGAAAAATTATTCAAATTCGTTAACACAATGGACCTCAACGAGGGAGACCAGTTCCGACCCCACAGTGGGAGGGGAAGGCGCACTGTCCGGCACGCTACCAGCCTGCGACGGAGCAGCGAGGGCGGCGCGACGCTGCGCCGCTCGGTGGGCCCGGCGCCTCCGGCGAGAGCGGCGAGACCGTCGGCGGCGAGGCACAACTGGCGCTGCAGACATCACCGGCGACGGAGCGATCAGAAGGGAAGTCGGACGCAGGTCTTCGGGAAGCCAATCGAAAAACGACTTCCACTCCTCGATTAGGTCCAACACCATGGCCGGGTCGGCGAGGGCAACACTGAGCAAAAAAAAAGAAGAAGAAAAAAACAACTGGGAGTATCCATGGTATACAATATTTACATTACCAACCCCGCCACGAGAGGTCTAACTGACCCTCCTCAAGGGCAGCATAGCCACCCGGTGGCAGGGCATACCTCCACCGAGGACGTGGTGTCCCGGGCGGAGTAGGATGGGTGGGAGAAACCGGAAGGCTTTGCGTCGGGGTCACCAATGGACTACCCGGCGAGGAAGAGGAATCCAGGCGAGGAGAATCAGGAGGACTCGGGGCAGGGGTATCCGGGGACTACCCACCAAGGGAGGGGAACCCTGAGCACCAGCAGGGGGCGCAACAATCGGAGATGGGGGAGGTAACCCGGGGGCTGAACCAACCCTGGGACCGACCTAGCAAATGGGGCCGGCAGAAACAGAGCAGGCCCACCCATGGAGGCAACCGCCGGTCTTTCAGGCATGCTGGAACCCCTGGGGGAGCAACCATCTTACCCTGCACCACCCGCAACCTATCCTCATGCACAGTCAGGTGCTTAGCATGTCGGGGTGAAGGAGGAGGACCCACCCGGACAATAGCACACACAACTCCCTTCACCACTTCCACCTGCCAGGGGCCAGTCCAGGGGCGGAACAGCTTAGGGCTGGACCCAGGGGGCAGAACAGCATGGAGCCAAACATAGTCCCCAGGTTGTACCGTGGGCAGTTTAGCTCGGCGATCGTACGCTGCCTTAGCCACTCTGTGGGCTACACCGAGGCGGTCACGTACAACGCCAAAAGCCCGACCCAAAGACGACCGAAGATTGGACACGTACACAGGCAAAGGGGCTTCCACGGGGGTATTAGGTGGAGGTAAGAACAAGTCCAAGGGTAGACGGGCCTCCCTCCCAAACAGGACACAATGGGGAGTAAACCCGGTAGAGCGGTGGACCCCTGTATTGTAGGCAAATTGCACCAGGGAAAGATGTTTGTCCCACGAGGCCTGATCACCCTCAACGTACGCCCGAAGAGCCACCTGAATAGTGCGATTGGCCCGCTCTACCAAGCCATCGGATTGAGGCCGGTATGGGGTCGTGCGAGTTTTACACCCCCCCAACAACTGACACAGGCATGACATAAGACGGCTCTCAAAATTTGGGCCCTGATCCGAGTGCAACTGGCTAGGGACACCAAACTTCATAAATACCAGTTCTACCAAAAGGTGCGCCACCGTCTCAGCTCTCATGTCCTGCAGGGGAAGAATTTCAACCCATTTAGAAAAATAGTCCCAAACCACTAGGATATATTTATTACCACGAGCAGTGAGAGGTAGGGGTCCCATGATATCCATGGCGATGACCTCAAACGGGGCACCCACACGCACAGTGCCGAGCGGGGCTTTTGCAGCCCTAGGCGGATCTTTGCCACGCTCGCACACTGTACAACATTTACAGAACACCGAGACATCGACCGACATTCCCGGCCAGTATGCGACTTTACGAAGCCGAGCCAATGTGCGGTCTGAACCAAAATGGCCAGATGTTTGACCAGCGTGCGCCTCGGCCAAAAAATTGGGGGCGCAAAACCACCGGAACCACTAACTGGCGGGCAAGCGATGGCAACGTGTCACGGTACAAAACACAGTCTACCGTGGTCATGGTCTCGGACTGAGTCAGCAGAGCACGAACTACAGAACTATCGCCATCCTGAATGGGCTGAGCGGCAGCCAACCGAGGTTCTGTGGATGTCGCTCATAGATGCGTAATTTCGCATGACGGAGCTCTCCTTCTCACCACTGTTGTAACTTACACTTCGTTACTGCATGCTTGTGGCACACGACAGTCACAAGCAACACCAGGAGTAATTATTGTTGGTAGTTATCATTACGAAGGTAAGCAAGAGAATGGCCCGAGCATGCCCAGAGCAACCAGGTAAGGCCCAGCAGCCATGATGAGAGAATACCGTAGACATGCGCGAATGGAGATAATATCGTACGAAGAGGCAGCGAGAGAGCAGCATGCAGCGACGGCATGTAAATGCAGTCTATAACAATCCTTCCCCCTTAAGAAAAATAAATAAAAATAAAATAAATAAGTAGTTTCAAGCAGTTGAAAGTTCTAGAAGCAGTCTACATCCGTATTCGTGATCCAAATCTTTGTAAGCAAAAAGAAAATGTCACCGCACTTACGCTATTCCAGTAAATTCGCACTCACACACACTTGCACATGCATGTCCATTGTCACACTGCACTTGCTGAATTTCCTATCATTTCTCACCTCACCTATAGTTTATTACCTGTGCAAATTGTTCCTAGGTTTGTGCTATTTTTCTTACTATGCTTGTACCCTCGCTGTTCCACTCCAAGTGTATAAATTCTATTGTAGTTTCAAAATAAATAATAATAATAATAATAATGTGAGCACTGCAGCGGCAAACAACTCACAAATCCAACTGGTCTGGATCACGTCTAGTTCTGACAGGTTTGTAGCGGGAGACAGGGTAGCGGGAGACAGGGTAGCGGGAGACAGGGTAGCGGGAGACAGGGTAGCGGGAGACAGGGTAGCGGGAGACAGGGTAGCGGGAGACAGGGTAGCGGGAGACAGGGTAGCGGGAGACAGGGTAGCGGGAGACAGGGTAGCGGGAGACAGGGTAGCGGGAGACAGGGTAGCGGGAGGCAGGGTAGCGGGAGGCAGGGTAGCGGGAGACAGGGTAGCGGGAGACAGGGTAGCGGGTGACAGGGTAGCGGGAGGCAGGGTAGCGGGAGGCAGGGTAGCGGGAGGCAGGGTAGTGGGAGGCAGGGTAGCGGGAGGCAGAAGTGAGAGCAGGCTCAACAGATAATGCAGGGACCGCGACATAGTCAGCTACAGTGTCTGAACTTGGAGGGAAAAGCACAGCAGGCATTTCAGCCGTAGTTTCGGCAGATGCATGAGACACCTCTGGTGTAGCATGAGCAGGTACAACCGGGCTAACAGGCACAGAAGCAGCAGACGGAGACAGAGAACATGACGCAGGTGGATTAGTAGGAGCGGGCAAACAAGTACTAGATTCAGAATCATCAATGGGGGTGTGCTAGTGTCAGCAAGACAGGTAGGCATATGGGCGCGAAGGTGATCAATATGGACTTGGTGCAACATACCACACACAGACACAAGATAGGTAATTGGGCCTAGCCGCTTCTCAACAATACCTTCCAACCACTTGGGCTTACTGCCCGGCCAGGCGTTGTGGACCCATACAGCCTGGGTAGGGTCAAACTACTTTCGAATGGGTATTAACTCACATGCATCAAAAGAATGGCTAGATACTGCATGCACAACAGCACGTTCTTCAGAAGCAGCCAGGGGCAATGGTAATCGAGAGAGACAATCGGCAATAACATTATCTTTGCCAGCCAAGTGTTCAATCGTGTAATCATATTCAGCCAAGATTACGGCCCAGCGCTGTAGACGGGACGCAGATGTCTTGCCGAGGGATTCATGTGGTCCGAAGCTCTTAACCAATGGCTTATGATCCGTTCGAAGGATGAATCGCCGGCCATACAGATACTGGTGAAGGCGACGAACAGCAAAGACAATCGCAAGAACTTCGCGCTCTATTTGACTGTAGTGATTCTCGGCTTGTGACAGTGCTTGTGACACATACACAATAGGACGGATAGATTGGTCAGGCATGATGTGCACAAGGGCAGCCCCCGATACCTGTAGGTGACACGTCACACTCCAGCACCAGTGGGACCGTAGGGTCATAGTGAGCCATGGCCGGAGTGGTGGCAAGGAACTGCTTGACTTTGCAGAATGCGGTTTCACAATCGTCAGACTACACAAATGGAGCATCTTTCTTCATGAGAGAATTGGGAGGGCTTAGCAGTGTGGAGCAGTTGGGGATGAACCTCCCGAAGAAGTTAACGAACCTCAGGAAAGAACATAGAGCAGAAACATCAGTTGGCCTAGGGGCATCATGATTGCAAGAACCTTATTGTTCGTGGGTTGTATGCCTTGCTGACTAACAGTGAAGCCAAGGTAACTAACCTGCTGCTGAGAGACGGCGCATTTCTCGCGGCTCAAACGAAGGCCTGCTTGTTGAAAGCGCTGTAGAACGGTACGGAGACGGTCATCATGATCTTGTTGTGACTCGCCGGAAATCAAGATATCGTCGAAGTAGAGGACGACACCAGGAATGCCACTTAAGATCTGTTCGATGGTCTTCTGGAAAATAGACGGAGCAGAACTGACACCGAAAGGCAATCGAGTAAACGCAAACAATCTCTTGTGCGTGCAGATAACACAATAAGACTGGCTTTGTTCATCCAAAGGTAACTGAGCATAAGCCTGACTACGATCTAGCTTTGAGAAGACCGATCCCCCAGACAATTCAGACAATAGGTCGGTAGGATTCGGAATTGGGTGCTGGTTAGGTTCTATGTGCTTGTTTATCGTAACCTTGAAATCAGCACATACTAGTAGACGGATAGAGTTGTTCTTCTTACGCACCGTGACAATGATACGATCTTTGAACGAATGAGACTCATGACAGACAGAAACGGTACACTCTCCCTTAACGACTAGGGGATGTCCACCATAAGCATGCAAAGAAGCAGAGCTCTGTTCTAAAGAGAAATGGGAAAACCTCTCTTTCCAAACAGATTCAGGGAGAATAGAGATCCAGCACCAGCATCCACCTCCATCGTGTACGGAATATCGTTAATGGTGACATCAATGGTAATCTGTGGGTCTTTCTGTACTTACTCACCAATAGCACCAATCGCAAAAGACTCTCTTGTATCCTCAGGTTCGACGTCGATGTCGATGTTGTTAGTTGCTCGGGACGTACAGCATGACACGAGGTGACCAACTTTCTTGCATTTGGTACATCTCTTGCCACGAGCAGGACATTGAGGGTGGTTTCCGAGATGATTGGGTCGGTTACACCTATAACACAAGTGCTAATACGACGCTCGATCATCAGAAACAGAAGAACGATTCATAGGGTTAGAACGATTCACAAAATGAGGAGAACTCCCAGGACGAGATCCAGACGCAGACGAGGCCTTACTTGCGATGGCGTTCACCGGCGGCAATGTTTGTTCAGAACCCATAGCTGATGCTTGACGTTGGGTTGACTCGAAAATTGCACAAATCTCTAAGCAAGTGGCCAATGTCAATTTCGATTCTTGAAGCAATTTCTTTTTTAGTTCCACATTTCGCATAGTTGCCACCACATGGTCCCGGATCATACCATTGGTGACATCACCAAAATCACAAAATCTAGCTTGTTGCCGTAAACATACAACAAACTGACTGATACTCTCACCGGCTTTGGGGGCGAGCTGTTGAAACAAGTGTCGCTCGCTCGTAGATAGGGTTTGGCTCGACCTTGAAGTGGTGACTCAGCATGCGTGACGCTTTCTTGAACTCGTCATCCGCCGGAGGATTTGCTGCAGGATCGGTGAGATCGTCAAATAAATCTTGAATTGTTGGGGCTGCGGAATGTAGTAAAAGAGATCTCAAAACGCTTAGTGTCAGAACTACCCATTCCTTCCGCCGTGTATTCAAAGCTGCGGAACCCTTTCTTCCAGCGTTGGCCAACCTCCGCATGAGTACCTGACGAGTCGAACGTAGGTAGATGATTGGACTGACCCTCGTGGAGATTGAAACTACTAGCCATTTTTCGTCGCCAATTGTTGTAACTTACACTTCGTTTCTGCATGCTTGTGGCACACGACAGTCACAAGCAACACGAGGAGTAATTATTGTTGGTACTTTGAAGTAGTTATCATTATGAAGGTAAGCAAGAGAATGGCCCGAGCATGCCCAGAGCAACCAGGTAAGGGCCAGCAGCCATGATGAGAGAATACTGTACACATGCGCGAATGGAGAAGATTGTACGAAGCGAAAGGAGATAAGATCGTACGAAGAGGCAGCAAGAGAGCAGCATGCAGCGACGGCAATACGAAGTGAATGCAGTCTATAACAGATCTCATCTTTGCAGCTCAGTTTGAATTGTGAAAACCCGGTTTAAGTTGAGTAAGGTGACGAACAAGAAGGTGAGGTCGAGTTGTTGTGCCATTCCGAGGCGTGTGAAGTAGTTAGAGAGGACGTGGAAGTGACACTGATATGTGCCTATGGAGCTGAGAGCTACCAGTATGGATTCTCTTACTTCCGTGGTCCGGATCTTTCCAACAAGCCCAGTATGATGAAAATCCATCAAGGTAACCAGAAATGCTGTGCGCACAAACTCCACCAGCTGGTTCAATGCACTTGAATGCCAGTGGACAGGTGAAAAGTGCCCAGCATGCAAAGAGTTATAAAATAAACCTACAATCACTACACTCACTGTTACACTGTTACACTCACTAATTCTTATGCACAGATATACAGCATTCCCTCACTAGTGGGACCATTGTTATAAGGCTAGGGCCTGTTTTGGACTTCCCACTCTAAATAAAGAATACAAACAAACAAACAAAACTCGACTGTATATGTGCAACCAAGAGTACATAAATCAGAGTGTGCGACTGTACATATCAGATCTGAAACAGCCCAGTTCGTGCACTACATCACCCTGATGAGGTCAGCCAAGCCGCGATTTGCGTACAGCTCAAATTTTCGTGTTCCACAGCTCGGAAATCAACCAAGATTTTAGAGGTCCTGTTTTAGGATTTCGGTGCTTTTGTGTGACTGCGTGCGTTGCGTACATCCGCTGGCAAGTAAATTCACCAGGCTATCCGTATCAAAAAACCCGAAATTAGGACAAACTCAGTGACTTGCACCACCGTGACTGGTTACGCAACTTTTCACCGTACCTGTGGCTTACTAAGTTACCATGCCGTCAGAAATGACGTACTGCACGAATTTACGCTCCCACAGGAACCATCCCGAGTTGCACACTCTGGTTTTATGTACTCTTGGTGTGACCAGTTCTGCTCAGGATTTCAGCAAGGTACTGACCGAGTGATGAACAGAGCAAGGCAGTCTGATTGACTCTACCCCAGTTTTGATTTGAACTTGTATCAGGATTTATTTTGCACAACTCATCTACTGTACACCGTGACCGCGGGGATAGGCATGTCGGCCTATCAGCGTAAAACTGGGCATAGACGACATACTATTATGTATGCACATTGGCGTGATAATTGACAGCTTGCCCTTGAACACAGGCATGGAATTACATGCTAATTGCGTGATTACTTGACCAGGGATCAGGTTCCTCAACACGCAACATTGGCTAGCTCAGTCGGTAGAGCAGGAGACTCTTAAACTCAGGGTCTTGGGTTCGAGCCCCACGTTGGGCGCCAAATGTCGTCAACGATTGGGACGAACTGTTCTCCTCTAGCGCAACCGCGTCACGCCACACAGCCAAAGACCAAGTTATTCTCGGTTACAGAGAGAGAATTATCTCTTTTTACTTTCATGAGACGACGAGACAAGACAAGGGAATATATTATGGGCGCCGAATGTCGTCTTAGACTGCCGACGAACTTTTCCTTAAGCGTGATCGCACCACGCCACACAGCCAAAGACCAAGTTATTCTCCGTACACAGAGAGAGTTTTCTGTTCTTATTCTCATGAGATGACGAGACAAGACAAGGCAAGGGAATATATTATAAAGACGTGGGAAAATGTGGGGCGGTGGAGGCGAAATTGGCGCTCGTGTGTGATACAACTAGTCCCGAACGGGAAGGGAGACAGACGGCAAACGATCAAATACGACGGAGACAAGACGGCTACCGGACGAATACAAAGGAGACAAGATGAGAAAATGCGTATACAACGGGGACAAGACAAGAACGAGTGCGTACGGAGGGGACAGAAGACGGTGCAGCCGCATGTACCAAGCATTCAAAGACAGCGCAGCAGGGTGTACCACGGGTCAGCAGCATGTACGACCCAGAAACACAAACGCAGCAGCAGGTACGACAATCAGACACAAATGCAGCAGCATATTCGACAAAGAGCTACACGCGCAGTCACATGTACAATGATGAGCTACAAGCGCAGCCACATGTACAATGATGAGCTACAAGCGCAGCCACATGTACAGCACCTGTGTGAAGATCAGCCAAACCACCCAGGGGCACCCTAATGACTGTATGGCTTTTTGCTGTTCTGTTCCAAAGATCTGCACTTCGTACGGAGTAGGCTAAAGGCAACATTTTTGCATTCGTATGGCTCATCTTAGTCGTCAAAACACATGTACATATTCAATCCAAGCACTACTCAATTTGAGTTACCACTGTGCCAGCCATTAGAGTGGAAAGACAGTGCATTGTGTTCATTGTTACAATGTAATGTATTTCTGTGTTCATTGTTACAATGTAATGTATTTCTGTGTTCATTGCTACAGGGTACTGCAATAGCAGTGACAATTTGGTGGCAGTGCCTAACGAAGACCGGTGTGTGTGCAAACGTGGGTATATCAACAACCACACAACCGCACACAAGTGTAAGTTATAATGTTCCCTACTGACATCCCTGCTAGCTGAACGATGAGGAGCTTTTCATGGGACTTTTTGAAGGCCTGGACATGGGCTTCAGAGATCACACAACACAGAATACGATGTTTGGTTCTGTATTATTTCTTTTTTCGGTGCATGGGCATGTTGTTTGGGTGTTGATCTGCCGCCTTTGCTACAGTTAGTACTGTGTCTTGTACAGTTCTTGATTGTTGCTGGTTTAGCACATCCGTAGATGTATGTAAAGTGATGGCAGTACTTGCACATCCGTAGATGTATGTAAAGTGATGGCAGTACTTGCACATTCGTAGATGTATGTAAAGTGATGGCAGTACTTGCACATCCGTAGATGTATGTAAAGTGATGGCAGTACTTGCACATCCGTAGATGTATGTAAAGTGATGGCAGTACTTGCACATTCGTAGATGTATGTAAAGTGATGGCAGTACTTGCACATCCGTAGATGTATGTAAAGTGATGGCAGTACTTGCACATCCGTAGATGTATGTAAAGTGATGGCAGTACTTGCACATTCGTAGATGTATGTAAAGTGATGGCAGTACTTGCACATCCGTAGATGTATGTAAAGTGATGGCAGTACTTGCACATCCGTAGATGTATGTAAAGTGTTGGCAGTACTTGCACATCCGTAGATGTATGTAAAGTGATGGCAGTACTTGCACATCCGTAGATGTATGTAAAGTGATGGCAGTACTTGCACATCCAGGGGCGTCACACACGGTACGACCACTACGACCATGGTCGTACCACTTTTCGTCCAGGATGGTCCACCCAATTCATCCAAAAAAGCAATAAAAAAATTCAAGGATCTTCGGACTTGTACGAAACATCACAACTTTCATTGCAAGGAGCATACAATTATTAGGTTCAGACTTGATGCCTAGCAGCTAGCACCCCAAGACTCCAGGCGGCTATCCATTGCGATAGGCGGTTGGAGTCACGGGTAGAGACAACCAGATGATGGATTCCTCACGGACGCATTCACTGCGAACTTGACGGAAACAGTGCTGGCGGCGATCACTGGGTCCAGAACTAAAAATGTCCAAGATCTACCATGTTACAATGGCGATCAGCACGGTCAAGAGACACTACAACTAACGTGTTACTTGTCAGCTACAACAACATATTCTTTCCACAACGACACCTACCTAGTAGACCTACCTCTGGCTCCTGACGATCTACTGCAAGCTGATGCGAAAATACATTACATGATCTACACCCGCGAACGCCGTGCTTGTCAACGAATTAGGGAAGCGCTTCATTCTCCGAGGTTGAAAAGTGTTTGGACTGCTGCTCTACGGCGGCAGAACATTCTGCAGCTGTTCACCGACACGACCCGCTCCACCAAACGACATAAGATCGTTTCGTTCGAATTTTCTGGTATCAGCAACAAGAATTGCGTCCGCGACGACAGGACGAAAGCCTCTCGCAAACTAAAGTCCTGTTGCCATGAAGACAGAGAAGATTCCGCAAGCCCTTTCTTCTGCTTCCAGTGTTGTAGCTCTCCAGTCCACTGGCAGATCTTTCAATCCCAACGAACAAAAAAAGGATCTTCTTCTCTCTGTATAAAAAATGCAACTAACATAATTCATTACATGACGTACTGTACTTCGCGACTGTCCGCGGGCCGGCCGTGCGGCGCGGCACACTTTCGCAGGACATGACATACGTTTTTGCACAGCGGCTGGCGCTAGGACTGTACTTCGGATTTTGCAATTTTTTCGAGGGCAATAGCTTCATTTTTGCCTTGGTCACCTATGCATGATCATATGATGATATGCAGAAAATACAAAAAAATCCATGAGAAGCGTTTTTTTTTAGTTGGAGTGGGTTGTCTAATGCTATAGGGGAACCCTCCTTTGCGGCTGTAGAGTGCTAAAACGTGCCCTGTTGGCCGAAAAATCCGAATTTTTTCTCCGGGGGACACCCCGGTCGTACCACTCCAAACAGCCCTGTGACGCCCCTGACATCCGTAGATGTATGTAAAGTGATGGCAGTACTTGCACATCCGTAGATGTATGTGAAGTGATGGCAGTACTTGCACATTCGTAGATGTATGTAAAGTGATGGCAGTACTTGCACATCCGTAGATGTATGTAAAGTAGGTGATGGCAGTACTTGCACATTCGTAGATGTATGTAAAGTGATGGCAGTACTTGACCATACTGGCATGCTCTATGTGATAGTGTTGGTCTGCATGTACCCGTAGTCAGGAATGACCAGAAGCAAACGAGCAAGATGTATGCCCTTTGTCTTCAGCCGTAGATAGTGGTGCGGGCAGGAATGGTCCTGCATATTGACAGTGGTGCGGGCAGGGATGGTCCTGCATGTAGATCTCCAGTGTCATAGACATAAATACGTCAATTAGGATGTTGGAGCTTTGTGTCTGCTTGATAACGGTGCTGACGTACAACTATGTGTATGTAATATTCACCATGTCATGTGACTGAGTGGAATGTGCTGCACTGCCCTGTGTACAGGTGAATCAATTGTCGAGCTATTTCGTTCTACTGGACAAGCAGGGCAGAGTTCAAACATCACAGTGTTCATCTGGTTAAAATCAGAGTGGAGGGTGCACAGTGTCTACACACAGAATACACTACACCAGCTGGCTAATTTCTCCTTACCAGAAGGGAGACTTGCCATCAGATCTGCTGAACGGATCATCTACACTTCTCCACGGCAAGGTAGGATATTGTATGTTTCTATAGCCCCGTGTGTTGTGTAACGTACACACAACAATTACACAAAAATACACACAAGCTGTGCAACTGAAAGGCGCGCACAAGCTGAGCAACTGAAAGGCGCGCACAAGCTGAGCAACTGATAGGCGCGCACAAGCTGTGCAACTGATAGGCGCGCACAAGCTGTGCAACTGATAGGCGCGCACAAGCTGTGCAACTGAAAGGCGCGTACAAGCTGTGCAACTGAAAGGCGCGTACAAGGTGTGCAGTGATAGGCGTGTACAAGGTGTGAAGTGATAGGCGTGTACAAGGTGTGCAGTGATAGGCGCGTACAAGGTGTGAAGTGATAGGCGTGTACAAGGTGTGCAGTGATAGGCGTGTACAAGGTGTGAAGTGATAGGCGCGTACAAGGTGTGAAGTGATAGGCGCGTACAAGGTGTGCAGTGATAGGCGTGTACAAGGTGTGCAGTGATAGGCGTGTACAAGGTGTGCAGTGATAGGCGTGTACAAGGTGTGCAGTGATAGGCGTGTACAAGGTGTGAAGTGATAGGAAGGCAGAAGAAGGTATAACGGTTACATGTACTCCACACACAACACTCACAACGACAGACTCTGACAGTAATGTAAATAAAAGGACTGGTACTTGCAAATGAATTGGGCAGATAAGGATATAGAGAAATCAACAATCGAACTCAATCTTGGGAGAGCTAATTAACACCAGAAGAAAAACCGGAACTCACAACAGAACCGGCGGGGACGAGGAAAGGAGCATGGAGAAGCCCGGCTGACGTCATGTGTGTGTGTGTGTGTGTGTGTGTGTGTGTGTGTGTGTGTGTGTGTGTGTGTGTGTGTGTGTGTGAGTACACACGCGGCGCGGTCAATGTGGCTTCGGCCAGGAAGCTTGGGGATGCTAACCTGTGCAGCAAGAGCTCTATTCAGTATTATCACTGTTGTAAATTTGCCAATAGAAATAGTTTCACACATATTTTACGACCACAACAATTATTGCTTGCCTTCTAGTTCCAGTAAGTCTTGTAGTATTCAACAAATGGAAAATGCTTTCAGTCTAGCAGTGCTCTGAATGCCTTGTCCATCTGCAGCTGCTTACATATTCCTCCGTAATGCTCTAATCTAGAAAACTTCTTCGTTCACATGAAATGCTTTTCGTACATAAATTATTTCGAAGTTACTGCATGCTACATTGCATGCTACATTGCATGCTACATTGCATGCTACATTGCATGCTACATTGCATGCTACATTGTATGCTACATTGCATGCTACATTGTATGCTACATTGTATGCTACATTGCATGCTACATTGTATGCTACATTGTATGCTACATTGTATGCTACATTGCATGCTACATTGCATGCTACATTGCATGCTACATTGCATGCTACATTGTATGCTACATTGTATGCTACATTGTATGCTACATTGTATGCTACATTGCATGCTACATTGCATGCTACATTGCATGCTACATTGTATGCTACATTGCATGCTACATTGTATGCTACATTGTATGCTACATTGTATGCTACATTGTATGCTACATTGCATGCTACATTGCATGCTACATTGCATGCTACATTGTATGCTACATTGTATGCTACATTGTATGCTACATTGTATGCTACATTGCATGCTACATTGCATGCTACATTGCATGCTACATTGTATGCTACATTGCATGCTACATTGTATGCTACATTGCATGCTACATTGCATGCTACATTGTATGCTACATTGCATGCTACATTGTATGCTACATTGCATGCTACATTGTATGCTACATTGTATGCTACATTGCATGCTACATTGTATGCTACATTGTATGCTACATTGTATGCTACATTGCATGCTACATTGTATGCTACATTGTATGCTACATTGTATGCTACATTGTATGCTACATTGTATGCTACATTCTGCTACATTCTGCTACATTCTGCTACATTCTGACGACGAACTGAATTCTGAGCAGGCGTACTTGAGATTCTGACACATAATTTTACCAACAGAGCTTCTGGATCACTAAGCTTCTCTTACCATACTGTGTAAAATAATGATGTTCGCATGCGCGGTACAATACTATTGTCCCGCTACTATTGTCCCGCTATTACAGCTCATGCTTATCTTGGTTGCGCTCACCTTCCCCTCCTTATGTTATTTCTATAACTTAGAACCTTCCAAGTTGGAAGGCTGTTGGAGTGCGCATCCAAGATGTGCTAGAGCTGTTAGACAGTTAGTTGTAGAACGTCAGTACCGTCGGTCAGTGTCGTGCAATGTTATTGCATGAGCTGATTGTTTAGTAACTGGTGGTGTTAGTGGACATTATAGTGTAACTTGTAGTTCCTTTGTCCTTTTTGCTTTTCATTATTATTGCGCTACTATTGTCGCGCTTCTATTGTCCCGCTTCTAGAAGTGATTCTAAGCGCTTGATTCTCTTCATTCTAATCATCCTTCAACCACTCTAGCTAAGCCTTTAAGGCTCATGATAATATAAGCTTGGATCCATTGCAACTATGTGTTGTGTTCTCTGTTTAAATTTGTTTATCTCTGACCGGAGTAAAGTCAGGATTACAACAATCACCTTCACTGGCCTTTATACTTTATTCTTCTTTTTAGTCGATATCACGTAATTAGGCAAATTTGCCTGTTTGTTCTTCGACTCTAAATAAACAAACAACAAGCGCAGCATGCAAATACGGCAAATAAGGCAGAAGCAGTGTGCATACACGCAATTATGGTGTATACCTAATAGGGTATGAAGTCAACATAACTCGTGAAAATGCCTATGCAAAAATGTGTTCGAAAAGTAACAGTTAGCTATGATGCAGGAAACTATCTCTGCGATCTGGCAGACGATGAAATAATTTGAAACTAGACAAATTGACAATCAGCGAGTCAGAGAAAAGGAAACATGGTACTAGCAAGAGAAAAAGGAGCAGAGCAGGCGTGGAAAATGCAGAGTATAGATAGAAGAACAGAACGGTAAGCAAAGTGTCAAACGAAGAACCCGACGTACAGATTCAAATCTATAATCCAAAGCAATGAATAGTTGTGTATTATGGTATCATTTTACTTGTGGTGAAAGAGGAGAACTATTCTACTTCACCCATCGACGCAATTGTGTGATTCCCAAGGACTCTCGATGCAAGCAACAAATAGTGCAGAGAGTTAACAAATCTTCTGTCCAACCATGTTGAATAACTAACCCCCTCACAGCCAACCCCTCTCTCTCTCTCTCTCTCTCTCTCTCTCTCTCTCTCTCTCTCTCTCTCTCTCTCTCTGTCTCTCTTTCTCTCGCACTACAGCTGACACTGTTGCTGCAGAGCTGGCCAAGAATCACTCCCAATTCTTCATCGTGAATGCCGGTACAAGTGATATACTTCTGCCCTCAGCCCATCTTCGTAACTACCTGGTCAACTTAAGTGTTTGGTTTCGGCCGTACAAAGTTGAGTGCGTTAACATTCCTAGTACAAACCAGTCAGACACCTGTAGTTACAGTGTGTTCAATGAGTCAGTCCCGTTCAAGGATGGCCTGTACGAGTTTGCCCTGTCTCCACACAACTCTACACTACTTAGTATACCTGTTCTATACACAGTTTACCCAAGACCAACTACCACTGTACCTCCGATGTCCAGCATGCCTGGTAACAATGGTAAGTATTCAGTGTGTTTATGTTTAGCTAATATGCCTTTCTGTCTACCGTACTTCTCTACATATCCCAGTACCAATGAATGTGAGACAGGTGCATATCACACATGTGATGTAATAACAGAGAGGATGCGATATATTTACAACAGACATGGTGTATTTACGGAGGGCACAATGTGTATACAAGAGATATGGCTCTCTGGGATACATATACAGCACTCGGAGTACATATACAACACTTGGAGTAGATTTATTGCTGTCAGAACGCCTCTGCAGAAGTAGCAGTGTAGTCCGAGAGTGCATGTACAGTACAATAGACACTGTAGTCAGAATGTATGTACAGTACAATAGACACTGTAGTCAGAATGTATGTACAGTACAATAGACACTGCAGTCAGAATGTATGTACAGTACAATAGACACTGTAGTCAGAATGTATGTACAGTACAATAGACACTGTAGTCAGAATGTATGTACAGTACAATAGACACTGCAGTCAGAATGTATGTACAGTACAATAGACACTGCAGTCAGAATGTATGTACAGTACAATAGACACTGCAGTCAGAATGTATGTACAGTACAATAGACACTGTAGTCAGAATGTATGTACAGTACAATAGACACTGCAGTCAGAATGTATGTACAGTATAATAGACACTGCAGTCAGAATGTATGTACAGTATAATAGACACTGTAGTCAGAATGTATGTACAGTACAATAGACACTGTAGTCAGAATGTATGTACAGTACAATAGACACTGCAGTCAGAATGTATGTACAGTACAATAGACACTGTAGTCAGAATGTATGTATAGTACAATAGACACTGTAGTCAGAATGTATGTAGTGGCTAGACCGCCTTATCGATCAGGGTGAAGCTTTCGGCTACCAAGTTGAGCCGACAAAGAGTATCATTATTGTTTCCCCGGATCTCGTTCAGCAAGCTAATGATATCTTTGGGGATCTGAACATCCAAGTAGCTACATCCGCCCGTTTCCTAGGAGGCTGTATCGGTGAACCTGACGGAGTGAGATCGTTTGTCAAGGAGAGAGTGGAGACGTGGGTGAGCAGTGTCAATTGCCTTGCCGCTGCTGCCAGGAAATACCCCCAGTCGGCGTATTGTGCGTTGAATCGCTCGCTCTCATGTGAGTGGTCATACCTGCAGCGTGTTGTCCAGGGTCTTGAGGAGGAGTTTGCTCCGCTTCGAGACGTCATCCTGGAGCAATTTGCCCCAGCCATCCTTGGGCGGGAGGTTCTTCCTCGGGAACACCAGCTCCTCACCCTGCCAGTCAAGTATGGTGGCTTGGCTTTGGCCGATCCTGTCCACACAGCACCCCAGGCTTACCAGAATTCGAGAAACGCTACTGACATCCTGCGCAACTCAATCCAATCTGGTAACCCCGTAAACGTAAATGACCACAGCGCTCACTGTCGCCGCATCACAAGCCAAATCAGCAGGGAACGAGATGTGATTTCCGCTGAAATCAGCCAATCAATTCTCAGTGACCTGCCACAGCTTGAGGAGCGCACCCTCTCCCGCATCGTACGGGGAAATGCCTCCGGATGGCTTACGGTGTTGCCCCTGAAGCGCGAGGGATATGATCTGTCGAGTACAGAATTCCGCGATCAACTTGCCATCCGCTATGGTCGGCAGCCGCTTGCCCTGCCAGCGCAATGTGATGGTTGCGGGAAGCCTTTCTCTCTCCAGCATGGCCTTGACTGCCCGAAAGGTGGACTTATCAAGCGAGGCCACAATGATCTGCGTGATAGCGATGCAAAGCTAGCTGATATGGCATTCGGTGGTGTTGTCGTCGAGCCGATCATGGTGCCGGAGGGTGATCGGACGGGGCAGCCTGCTCTTCGGGCAGATTGGCTTGCCCGGGGTGTGTGGGAGGATAACAGGGTGGCGTTTTTTGATAATCGCATCATTGATGCCAACGCACCCAGTTACTCCCATTCATCCTGGGAAGCTACTTCCAACCGCGCTGCTAACGCGAAGAAAAAGAAGTATCGTCAGGCCTCCGAGGACCTCCGTGGGTCGTTCACACCACTGGTTTGTTCCACGGATGGGGTGCTACATCGCGAATACGCCAGCTATCAGAAGCGACTTGCTGGTCGCCTCGCCCTCAAGTGGGACAAGCCATTTTCTATCATCATGGCTTGGGTGCGAGTTCGCAGCCAATTTGCAGTGATCCATGCAGTCGACCTCCGGCTACGCGGGTCTAGAAGGCGCCTGACAGGCCTGTCGACGCAGGATGGTGCTGGTGTAGGCATCGGCCATTGAAAACTGAATTCCGTCCGTTTTACGTGGAATTTCTTGGAGTTTCCCAATGTTTTGTACTTGAATAAAATTCTATTTTAACTTTCAAAAAAAAAAAAAAAAAAAGAATGTATGTACAGTACAATAGACACTGTAGTCAGAATGTATGTACAGTACAATAGACACTGTAGTCAGAATGTATGTACAGTATAATAGACACTGCAGTCAGAATGTATGTACAGTACAATAGACACTGCAGTCAGAATGTATGTACAGTACAATAGACACTGCAGTCAGAATGTATGTACAGTATAATAGACACTGTAGTCAGAATGTATGTACAGTACAATAGACACTGCAGTCAGAATGTATGTACAGTACAATAGACACTGTAGTCAGAATGTATGTACAGTACAATAGACACTGTAGTCAGAATGTATGTACAGTATAATAGACACTGTAGTCAGAATGTATGTACAGTACAATAGACACTGCAGTCAGAATGTATGTACAGTACAATAGACACTGTAGTCAGAATGTATGTACAGTATAATAGACACTGTAGTCAGAATGTATGTACAGTACAATAGACACTGTAGTCAGAATGTATGTACAGTACAATAGACACTGCAGTCAGAATGTATGTACAGTATAATAGACACTGCAGTCAGAATGTATGTACAGTACAATATGCATGTACATGCACTTACAATGAACACAGGGAAGTAACCGTGAATACAAGGCAGTCACAGAGCACGTGAATGTTAATTGTAAATGCGTAGCATACTAACTGTTATGGCTACCGCCTGTGAAGAAGGTGTTTGGCGGCAATGAGCGTTGAAGGACAATACCAGCTGGTAGATATTCAAATTGCGTTTCCATGGTGACGTGTAACAGAGCCAGTATTGCCCATATACTCACTCACATATAGGCTGACAGGCAGCTCGGCAGGTGTTACGATTCATTCTACTGGGAGAAGCCTTGTCGTAGAGCGCTGGGTTAAATTGCTATCACCCCGTGTCTTTTCTATCATTTTCTGTTTTTTACTATCTTTTTGGCTTCTTCTTCATAAGCTGTTGACGGAGACTCCCTCGAATTCGGCTAAGGTCTGGGTTAATTCAAATACACACAGCTAGTGTGCAGCGGTGATGCAAAGGAGAATGTCCTGAAAGCGGAGAGGGAGCGGAGGGGGGGGGGGGGGGGGGGGGTGTATGTGGTGGCACTATTGGCTGTTGCACCGCTCCAGCTGTCTAAATGCAATGTCTGAAAAGAGAAGCTCCCGAAGGCATGATGGTGGGAGATGTGGCGGTATGCGCCGGTAATTCCAGCCCACTTTGTTCTGATCCGGAAATGTTCGTAAATCCGGTAGCTTGCGCACCAAATAGTGCGCGAAACCGTGTGGAAAATGTCATTACAGGCAATGTTTGAATACCACCTACAATCCCCTCCTACGTGGTGTTGCTATCAGGTGGTTGTTCTCCTGACCACATCCACGTGATGTGTAATGTGATGTGCAATGTGATGTGTAATGCAAGCTAGCTACTGGCATGTGTGACATATAAATACTCCGGTATTGGAACTTTCTAAGCAAGTGATCATGTGACCATGTGTCAGTGTGACAGGTTTAGTGACAACGCTGCTGGCGCAGAATTGCGAACAAAAGGACGAGCTGAATTCGCATGTCACGGTGTGTGTGTGTGTGTGTGCGTGCGTGCGTGCGCGCGCGGGCGGGCGCGCGCGCGCGAGCGTGCGTGCGCGTGCGTGCGTGCGCGTGCGTGCGTGTGTGTGATTGCTTTACTGTACATGGAAGAACAAACCAATCATGCAAGTAAACTTAGGCTGTGATGCACTGATTTTTTGATTGTCCGTCACAGCCTAAGTTAACTTGCTTGATTCATTTTTCTTCCATGTACGGTAAAGCCGTTACACGTGTCGATTCATCTCTTGTTCGTAATTCTGAAACAGTTATCACCTCATCGCTTATTTACACGCTGCTGTGTGTCACTGTTTTCCTTATATAGCTTCTTCATCGTCAGACGGTATGCCATCGGTGGTCAGTTCCTCGCCGAGCGGAACTGATGTTACCCAAAAGCCAGCATGGTTGGTCTGTACATTGGCATTGGTGGTGCAGTGCTATTGGCAGCACTTGTTCTCATAACGGTCTGCCTGGTGGTGGTGGTGGTGGTGGTACGTCATAAGAAGGATGGTGTTCCTGCCTGATGGTTGACTTGTGAACAAGATCGACATTGTTTGAATTCGTTGTGGACTTTGTCTTTGCTATTTTCGTTCTGTCTATTCTCTCACGTTTCTTCTCTCTCTCATATCTTCTGTAGAACTTCTTTCCAGTCTGTCTCTCTGCTCTTCTCTCTGCTCTTCATCTCAAGAACTTTTCTCTTTTCCATTTCTTCGTTCTTGTACTTCTCTAAACTTCTCTACTCTTTTTTTTAGTCTTTCTTCTTTTTTATTATTTATTCGTAGAAAGGCAATGGACATATGGGTACGAGTTAAGAGTAACTCTCCATCACTGTAACCAGCTGGGTACTATATACACTTTATTTATTTATTATTTTATCGTCTCCACTTCATGGCACATAGTAATACATAGCCAATACAAGAAAGGGAGGGTGAGTCCAACCACTTGTTTAGTTTCTTTTTGAGAGTTTTCAGTTTTCAGTTTTTGTTGTTTGTGAATACAGTCAATACACTTTATACAGTCTTCAAGCGAGCAGAAGTTTTCGATATGTGGTCGTGACTTGGGTTGTCCGTATTGCCCTGAACAGATGGAGTTAGTCACCAGCATCATAGATCAGGTGAGTAAGCACCGGGATGGATGGTACGCTTTCCAACGGCCATGAGAGTTGGAAAGCTTGTGTCTTTGTGGGTAACTTGAACATTTGGGGCTCATGTAAAATCGCACTGATTTTGGGATTTCCCTGCGACTTTTTGCTTCAGCAAAAATGTTGTGCTTAAGGAGGCTCCAACCTTCTGCGCTGCGCAGCCGGTCTGGCGCTCTGTTTTTTGCAGGCAAAAGTCTTGTTTTTGCCGATAAGTGCGAAAAGTTGGGAAATTCCCATCTCAACTTACTAAAATTTGAACTCCGCGATCGACAGTCTTATCAGAGAATATTGTTTCATTCTTCACCTGTAGTCTTCCCTGGGCCCCATCGAGGTTCCTGTTGTTTTTTCCTCCGTTGTGTCAGTGGGTATCAGGGCATGTTTTCAAAAGCATCGCTGGTGTGAGCAAGAAGTTGACTTTACAGCTCGATTTCTCGAGATCCTGAATAATTTTGCTTGACGAAAAAATGAACAAGGAGAACGGAGCCAAGCGTCTCGATGGCTGTGTAACACCAGGGACCAAAACCTACTGTAAGCGCGTTTTGGAGAGAGAGACTGAAGTGGGTGCACAGACTCTGGTAAGTGGATCCACTTCTAATTCTCAAGTGGCGAAATATATTCCTACGCTGAAAACATTGCAGTCTTGAGTGAGTGGTAAATCGTTGGTGAGCTACTGCTCAGTGACTTGGGCTATTTACGAAAGCTGTGACCTGTCAGCTGCCAACGTCGCCAGCAGTAAGTCATCACCTGCGTCCACTTGAATAAAATACAGCACTGAAAATTGAGTATGTTGTTTTGCAGTACTATTCTCTATTGTCAGAGTGTGAAGTATTTTGTAAATGTTGTGTTGTACAGCACCAGTGATTTGAAAATATTCCTACACTACTCGCACCAGTTCTATTATGATGAATGCATGCACCTCTACCCATAAGCACTATGTGCATGCACATACGCAGGCACGCGTGTGAGCCTAAATGTTGTTTGTGTGTGCGCGCGCGCGCGCGCAGTGCATGTTGTGTGTGCGCGCGCACGCGTGCACAAGTGCATGGACAGCAGAATATGGTAACTAAGCTCAAGAGCATGCATTTTGCATGTGGGTGTATGCTATTGCGAGTGCGCGTATATGACGTACGTGTATTTGTGTGTGCAAGGGGTACTTGTTTGTGAGCATGTGCATGTAAGCGTACATGTATGTATCAATGTGTGCAATGCGCATGCACCCACATACACTTGTGGTTGTTCCATGTTATTGGGAATAGTGTATGATTATACCTAATGGGTGCTACACTGATTACTAGCAGTCGTTCATTGCCAATATTGAGTTGAACCTGCATCTACATTGTACATGTACTACAAACATGAAACTGCCCCCCCCCCCCCCCAGAATATAATAATAATTGTTATCCTCCTCAAGCTCTTTGCCTGTTGCTTTATGAGAAATACTAGGAGTGAACTATTGCAAGAGTTGTGATGCAAAGCTGGTCTGAACTGTGCTCAGGGTCAGTAGGCCTTGGCCTGGATCATGAATAACGTTGTGCATGGATCATGCCGATATCCAGATCAAGGGCTAAAAAGCCCAGGAACCATGGCCTCATCTAGTCTCCATGTATACTATAACAGTCTGGGGGACCATTCAATGCTTTTGACACAAAAAATTGGAGTAATACGACAAGGAATGCATAGAATGATCACCTTACCTGAAAAATAGCAATTCCAAGAATGGTGGAAAATCGGCCAATTTTCGGTCCTATTTTTATTTTTGGAGGTCTAAAATGCACGGTAACCCCCCTAAAATTATATATTTCTAGTTTCTATGAAGTATGAGGATCCCAAAAATAAAATAAAAAGGGCATGTCCATGAAGAAAATATGAAGCTGTGCACCCAATTGTACTTTGCGGACGGGCATTTCTGCGAAGTTCATTTTTGTACCAAAATTACTATTTTTCTGAGTAGTCAATGCTGATTGCCAGATTTTCTTGCTCAAATGCTTCACTGTGATGTGTGAAAGGACTTGCAATCACAAAGAGAAGCCAGACAACTGGTAAATCTGAAATATGACCCCAAAACAAGCAAATTTAGGCTGAAATCGATAAATACACCCACCCCTAGAAATACACCTCAAACAGCCTTATCTCCGCGGAAACACCCCCTGAATTTTTTTGTGGAGTAACATGGGATGATATAGAGCACACTCATCCACAAAAAGGAGAGGGTTTATGAAGAAAAAAAATCACCCCCAAAGGGTTGGAGCCTCCTTAACCGCATTCCTGTCACTTCGCAGTGGCTTTTCGTTGGTGCAGTTTGTATCCCACCCTCCCACTCCTGACTTCTGGGTGTGTGTTTATCAATAATCTTATTGGCTTTCTTATTGGCCATGTGACTGTGGCTGTTACGACTGCTTTTCTTTTGTAGTTAAAAAACGTAGGGGTGGTGTGTGCGTCGCGGGCCTTTGTATGGTTACGTACAGCTTCAGATTGTATGGCTAGTGCCAGGGGAGTTGCATGGGAAGAATACTACTGTGTTGTGATTGAACTGAAGCTGGATGATGACCGTGTGGTGAGTGTGTGGGGTTTTCAAGATACCGTCCTGCTGCAGGGATGTCGGTCCTTTAGCTTGGACGGGTGTTGTTACATTCATTGTAACATCTTGTCGTTTTCTGTGGGCTTTGCTGTGCGACTGGCAGCAGTGTATCTTGTGCTTATTTTTTCTTATCTCTATGCATACAATTATTTAAAAAATTAAAAAAATCAGGAAGAGGATAATATAATAATAATATTCGCGGGATCCGCGTCGGCATCGCTTGACTGTTCAGAAACACACAAACTAGCCTTCGCATCCGCAGGCCACCACTATGCCTGTTCACCTTAGTGGCAAATGCAGACCTCACAAGTGAGCCAGGGGAGAGGAGGTTAGTCTCTCAAGTTGAGTCTCAACCAATCGGGCGTGTAACGGCCCATAAGTTGAACTTGATAACCCTGTAAACTGCATCCTTGTTATTCTCACTCTCACTCTAAGGGCTAAGGGCCTGGTCAGACTGCGGCAAAATCGAAATAATCCTAGGATTATAAGCCGAATCTCCATAGTAACTTGCCGCCAGAGCGGCAAAAGCGAGAGTTGACGCTCCAAAAAAAAAGCAAGAACGGACCACGCTTTTCCGCTCCAAACAGGATTTGACGCTGATACGCCATTGACGCTGATAATCACTGATTTTTTCATCTCGATATCGAGGAGCTAATTGGCCACGGACAACAACAAAACTCATAAGGATGGTTGCAAGGATTGCACTGAAGGTGTTGGCGTCTTGGCGATCCCCAAGGTGAAGGAATTTGACGTCGTTCGTGGAGATTACCACTTGACGCTCGAAATGAAGTTTGAATTTTCACTCTCCCCACATGTGTAGTGTGATCGCGATTCAAATTCTGGACGCTGTTCTGTTTTCGTCAGGCAAGAGTACATGAAAACCGGGTTTTCATGTACTCTTGCGTCAGGCAACCAAAATTTGCCGCAGTCTGACCAGGCCCTTAGGGCCTGGTCAGACTGCGGCAAATTTTGGTTGCCTGACGAAAACAGAACAGCGTCCAGAATTTGAATCGCGATCACACTACACATGTGGGGAGAGTGAAAATTCAAACTTCATTTCGAGCGTCAAGTGGTAATCTCCACGAACGACGTCAAATTCCTTCACCTTGGGGATCGCCAACACCTTCAGTGCAATCCTTGCAACCATCCTTATGAGTTTTGTTGTTGTCCGTGGCCAATTAGCTCTTCGATATCGAGATGAAAAAATCAGTGATTATCAGCGTCAATGGCGTATCAGCGTCAAATCCTGTTTGGAGCGGAAAAGCGTGGTCCGTTCTTGCTTTTTTTTTGGAGCGTCAACTCTCGCTTTTGCCGCTCTGGCGGCAAGTTACTATGGAGATTCGGATTATAATCCTAGGATTATTTCGATTTTGCCGCAGTCTGACCAGGCCCTTAGCAACGCGAAAGTTCGAAAGAAAATTCGAGTCTGGGAATGAGTACAGAAACAAAGGTCGAAACTTCGAAAACTTGGACGCGAAGTTGCAGTGATTTGCGAAAGTAAGGCTGTGTTTACATGAAGCGTTTCAACCCGGGTTGAGTTCGACCCGGGTCAGATTTCAACCCGCCATGTGCACAAAGTGAATGGCGCGTTTACATGACGCATTGCGCTTGACCCGGGTTGAAATCTCGCCCCGGGTTGATTTCAACCCTCCCCCCAAGGGGAGGGTTGAAATCAACCCGGGTCAAGAAAATCGTACAAACGTACTTCTGTGCGTATCTCGCGCCAGGTTTGAACAGCGCTGCAGATGCAAATTTCGCGCGAAAGGATTCACGTGACTATACGGAACTGTAGAAGTGAACTTTTGGCGGCATATCAGTATTTGACCCGGGTCAACTGTCTTCATGTAAACGCTCACCTCTTTTGTCTATCGTACAGACTTTCAACCCGGGCTGAACTCGACCCGGGTTGAAATTTCTCATGTAAACACAGCCTAACTTTCTCTTTTCTCGGTACGCATTTCACTACAGGGAGTAGTAATTTTACAGCCCCCTGCTTGAGACTGAACTGCATATACCATGTATACGGTACGGTACTATAAGATTCAAATAGCTTCGAGAAAAAGTCGTTTCGCATTGCTAAACCTCACAAGTTTTCTTTTTCGAAATAGATTTTCGCGAAATATCGCCACCACCAAAAGTTCGAATTTTCGCATTGCTATTAAAACGTCCCTAATAATATTATTCGCGGGACCCGCGTCGGCATCGCTTGAATGTTCAGAAACACACAAACTAGCCTTCGCACCCGCAGGCCACCACTATGCCTGTTCACCTTAGTGGCGAATGCAGACCTCACAAGTGAGTCAGGGGAGAGGAGGTTAGTCTCTCAACCAATCGGGCGTGTAACGGCCCATAACCCTGTAAACTGCATCCTTGTTATTCTCACTCCGAGCTGTGAGTACCCAGTTGACCGCGCAGTTCAGCACGCGTAATAAGTCTTTTTACACGCTCCCTGCTACCAGCGCGGGTCTTGAACTCGGGACCTCATGATTCGCAGGCAGGCCTGCTAACCAATCGGCCATATGCGTTGGTTCTGAGGATCTAATATCAATAAATAAAGCCATTGCCGAGCCACCGTGCTCACAGCAGAGACTTCTGTGTGTGTTATTGTCGTGAAAGTGGACCACAAAGACACACTGAGTATGCATATGCACACTATGCACACTATGCACAAGCCAACGGTCACTTGCAACCACGTCTTCTTTGCTATTGCAGAGGTGACTCAGCAGTACTAGAACCTTGTGCATGCGTGTCTATGTGCGTGCGTCTGGCTTTGTGTTTATGTGTTGTCTTAATTGTTGGTGTGTGTGCGTGTGCGTGTGTGTGTGTGTGTGTGTGTGTGTGTGTGTGTGTGTGTGTGTGTGTGTGTTCAATGCAGGAGCTCTGGAAGCTGCAGGTGAGAGGTCAGCTAACAACAGACATACATCTGGCACGGGATGCGTTACCAGTCTGTCAAGTATGGTTCTAGCCACGGTTCATCGGTTACAGCCCCCAACTCCACTCAGGTACATACCCATCCTCCTGAATGCCAAATACGGTTGTGTAAACAGGCACGTACCACACTCACTAGCACACTGGTCACCATGGTGACGGGTGATATTATTTTACAGATTACCTCGCAGATAGGCAGCAGCATGGCTAGATCATAGAATGCAGCGGCAAGTGGAGCATGAGTAACAGCACTATCACTAGACATGACTATAGTATGTTAGTCTCAGAGCACAGAAGTAGTTTCTCTGTGCTGCGCTGAGGAGTTCACAAAGAACGAAACAGCATGCTGTCCGCAGATTGAGTAAGTAGTACATGTATTTCAGTAAGTAGTTAAAACATTCCTGTTCTCAAATAATAATATTACGATTCAAGCTGCGGTGCGGACTCTGCTCACCCAGAAAAGTATGATTCATGCTCAACTAAACACCTAGAACCACAAAAACTTGAAATTTAATCTTAGTTATGTTGATAAGAGGATATCCCGAATGCCTTTACTTCTCCTTACAGTATCAGTTTCATCAAGTGCATGCTGTGATGGACGCACATGCCAACTACATTTATATTCTATCAAAGAAGTACTTTGTGAAATTAATAATTTGTTTTGTACCTGGCTAGGACTACATATAGCGAAAGGATAAAAATGTGATCAAGGATACTACTAGTGAAGCTCAGGCTCTAGCGTAAAAGGCGTTCGCAATCCTGCATTCATTTGAGGACGGTTATGAAGTCCTCCCCTTGCTGCTATTGTTGATAGGCTGTTTGTCACACACTAAGAATGCATCCAGTGTGAAGCGCTAGCGTAATGCACTACACATCCAGTATGAAGCGTTAGCATTTTGAACTACATGTATCCAGTATGAGGAGGCACTAGCTGAATGACTAGTTGTAACAGTGAACACTGACGCTATCAACATAACCTTAACGTTAGTCACTGTCGCCTGAAGAATGTGAAGGAGGTGTTGCATATGTATGTGTCTGTTGTCCCAGGAGTGGTGTTTTTAATTGCCTTCTTACTTGACGGAGTTCATGCCGATCCCCTCTATCCTCCATGGACACCCTTGAACTATTTGTTCCGACATTTTTCGATGACAGATGCTCTCTTTTAGAATCCACATCAACACTCATTGACAGAAATTCATCCCTTGATCCAGCATCTGCTGTCATCCCATTGGCTGGTGGTTTGCCTTTACGGCGCCAAGACGTACGCCGAGACTTTGAACTCCTACGCAGGCTGTGACTTGTAGAGTTGCCGCCACCATTGCTGCCAGCGCCACTGTTGCCAGTACCACTGTTGATGTGTGTGGGTGTGTTATCAGATCTTTGTGCAGCTGAATCTGGGTCATCACTGTCGGGTAGCCTGGCGATAGCGCTTGCGCGTACAGCTGCATATGGACCAGTGACGTCACTTGCTGCATGCAACTTGCGTAGCACAGGTCTAGCATAGCCAAGTGAAGCACTATCTCGAGAAACTACGCCGCCGGCTGTATCAGAGTCACCATCTATTTCATCCAACAGACCTTGTTTAGCTTTGTTCTTCTGTTTCCTAAATAAACCAGAAAAAGGACACCAACAGATGACGCAATGTCTAGTGCATTTTCAGTGGCTCAATATGCGAATAGAACATTGGGTAGCCAAGAGTCTTCCACATCGAAAATCAAACAAACTAGTGGGGTTTTCAGCTCCTCCACCGGCACCGCCAATGCACATGCAAAGAGGAGCGAGCAGAGCTGCATCCATTTCAGCCAAAACAGGATGTTCCCTATAGCAGCCCATGGCCCACATGCCACGATGAAGCCATGTTCTACGCTCAACCAAATGCAAAGTGCAGGCAAAATACACACCGCTTGGGGAGTGTAAAAATTACGACTCCCGAATGTCCTCGATTGCGACACACGTTTCGTCCCTGCTGGACTCATCAGGCAATCTTCTTCTTTGGATGTATTCGGCCGCAGCTTGACAAGAAAGATTGCTGAAAACTCCAAAGCAGAAGTAATAATAATATTTGTGGGATCCGCGTCAGCATCGCTTGAATGTTCAGAAACACACAGACTAGCCTTCACATCCGCAGACCACCACTATGCCTGTTCACCTTAGTGGCGAATGCAGACCTCACAAGTGAGTCAGGGGAGAGGAGATGAGTCTCTCAACCAATCGGGCGTGTAATGGCCCATAACCCTGTAAACTGCATCCTTGTTATCCTCACTCCGAGTCGTGAGTACCCAGTTGACCGTGGGTGTCGGCGCAGTTCACCACGCGTAAAAAGTCTTTTCCACGCTCCCTGCTACCAGCGCGGATCTCGAACCCGGGACCTCATGATTTGCAGGCAGGCCTGCAAACCAATCACTCATATGCAATATATGTATTACTAGCAGAGTGCTAGTGAAGAAATGGTGGTAAATACGCAGGGCCGGCACCACAGGTGTGGCCGGTACGGCCATGGACGTACCAATTTCCCAAAAAGTCTGTCCACGTGGAACGTCCAAAAACCGGGGAGAAAAAGTTTTGATGTAGGATTTTGTACAAGGAGTCGTAAAAAACGGACTACACTGTCATCAGGAACATTCTCCGTACAGTGAACTATCATAGATGCACAGTCTGAAACTAGTGTGTTCTGCATTGGAACATCAGACTTGCAAGTTGTACCCAGGGGCTAGGAGATGCACCGAAATGCACCCAGAGTGCAGGATTTGCTTTCTAAATTACTAAAAATATTTGGGGGAGGATCCAGACCCCCTTCAACAGGGCACTCGGCCGAACCGCTCCGTGGGAGCTGCCTCCGGCCCTGATACCATCCTGCCAACACAATGCTCTCCAAGTGACAACTGAGTTCTGGCAAAGGCAAAGAGGATAGCCATTGGCGGACTATGCTCGGCCAATCGTCAAATTATGCTTTTGATTATACCACAATTATGCCAACAAATATGCTGAATTATGCTGAATTATGCTCGGTTCCACTATGTATTCACGCTGTACATAGAGGATTGAGAAACCACGCATACACACACGGCCATGCCCTAAGCACAATGTTTGTCTAAACCGAAAGATTATGCCGACCCCACACGTTGGAATCCGTATATTATGCCGGAGCATAATTTTTTGACGAAATCCCAAGATTATGCCAAATATTATGCCGGCATAATCCGCCAAGGGCTATGACAAGGAGTCGTAACTGGGGTATTAAAAAAAAAACATCTGCTGGCTTTCTGACAAAGCTGTATTATGCCCTAAACATAATGTTTTGTCTAAACCGAAAGATTACGCCGACCTTACACGTTGGAATCCGTATATTATGCCGGAGCATAAGTTTTTGACGAAATCCCAAGATTATGCCAAATATTATGGCGTCATAATCCGCCAAGGGCTAAAAGAGGATCACCCGAGTGCGTCTGGCGCCTGGCCATATGTCACTATTTGAGCCAAGTTGAGTCAGTGTAGTGTAGTATTACCTATGCGTGTGATGTGTGTACAGTCAAACCATACACTGTATAGTGTATAGTGATAATAACAAGCCATGTATCGACAGGGCACCCGGTGAAAACTGATGGCAACGGCAAGAGAAGGAATGCTCTTTTCCAGAACTTTGCAGTTTGCAGCTTAGAGAGCGTTATGCGGGCAGATGTGTATTAACCGCCATTATCCACATGTGGTTTCACTGTCATATCGCCATTGTTTTGCCTTTGTGTGGTGCATTCTGCCCCTGCTTGGACATAGAGCTCTATTAGCAGCAAGGACCCTACACCAGTATCGTCATGTGTGTTACACTGCCATATCACCACGTGTGTTACACTGCCATATCACCACGTGTGGTTTTACCGCCATATCACCATGTGTGGTTATATTGCTACAACAGTTGCTCGGCATACTCTTCTTCTGGTTGCGATGATTTTCTTCTCCTGGATCCCTAATCATTATTTCCTGTTTAATTTAAAGGGGAAGTCCGGTGAAAAATTTAAATTTCACAGTCCGTAGAGTTCGGGGCGCTGAGTCGAATGGTCTTTGTCCGAGGAGGCTGCGGCTTATGGTTCGTCAGATACGCCCAATCGAACATGTGCGAATTTGAGCGCGCATCACCCAGATCCAGGTGATGACGTCACAGCGTGCAGCCAGGTAGCCACACCATCTAGGTGTGTACAAAAATGGCCATATTCGGAGCGCGTTCGATTGGGGAACCGTTTATCGCAGCTTCTTCGGACCAAGACCATTCGATTCAGTGTTACAAACACTACGTACCCTGTGATTTTCAGCTCGGTAAACCTGGAGGTTATACCGTATTTTAGCCGTTTCCGAGTTGGACTTTTCCGTTAGCCTAGCCCGTCTACCTGGTCTACATGGTCTATGCGCTCTGCGCGCGCTGCGTGCATGCAGTGCGTGCAGTGTGTTATCTAGCTGTAGACTGTAGTGTAGTAGTACTAGTAGTGCAGTCAACAAACTCATGTCACATCTGACACAACAACAACAAGTCACAAGACTCAGAAAACTAGTCAACACACGGACTTGTCATGTACATGTACTACACTCGTATCAGTCGTATTGACTATTGTACAGTCATGTAGTCAGAGAACGTGCGTTTCTCCTTGCCGGTGCCGGTGATTGTGCTTTGAGAAAGAAAATTTTAGTTTTCCGCACCCGCGGCGCCTCATTATTTTATGCTACAGCGATGAGTGCACAACCGTGACAAGTGACAAAACAGCGACCAGCTCTCGGACCTAGAACTTTCAGATTCTATAGCGTTGCGAGCGAAGAGTCGTGCCCGTGGTTCAAAGAGCCTGCACTGTTCTCCAATTGAGTAGTCCGAAATATTCCCAGTTCGCACCAAAACATCACCATGTGGCAGGCTACTGGAGTCTAAGCGAATCAAATCGGTATGGAACAACATTTAGAGCACTCGCATCACTCTTCTCCATTTTGGCGACCCTGCTCTCCAGCGATCTGATAATTACATCAGCCTCGTCTGCAATAGCTGCTGCTTCTTCATCAGTCGGAAACTCAGTAGCGCTCACTCTTGACCGGCCCGCGCGGCCATTTCTTCAGCTGACTACCGAGGTTCTCAGCCCCAGACCGAACTCATGAAGGTCAGCCATGGCTGCATCCTCACTCTCGCAAGGAGTTACATGTCTTCGGGGTCGCTTGCACCACCTAATATCAGTCGCCAAATCATTTGAAATAACACTGACACTATTGCTTTCACGCACTCCTTTTGACCTAGCTGCACGCTATGACGTTGCAGAGGGTGTGGCGCGGCCGCATGACGTCATGGCGCAGCCCCCGAAACTCAGTTTTTCAAACGGAAATATCTCGAGAACGCTTTGTCGGAGACACGTGGGACCAACACCATTCGACTCAGCGGCCGAAACTCTACCGACCCTGAAATTTAAATTTTTCACCGGACTTCCCGTCCATTACAACATCCATTGAAAGAAACCAGGGAAATCCCCTTTTGATGCACTCTCTAGCCGGTGTGTTTAGTCAAGGCCGATCATTGACCCCCCCCCCCCCCCCACACACACACACACTACTCCCTATCCCTGACATGTGGTGTTGTTAAGGACAAACTTACTTCCATTGCTTAAAGGAAGACCAGAGTGTCAGAGAGATATATATCAGCATGTAGGCCACGGGAAGGAGGATAAACGTGATGAAGACAGCTGTCGGTGTGTTTCTCTCATCTTGTTGAATAGTCAGTGATCCAACGAGTGCAAGATCAAGCAGTGCCAGAGCTTCCGCTACATTAGCTAAACGTTCAATATAGGGTTGCGTGTAGAGATGTATTGTCAATAGAAACAGTGCGGCCAATTCCAGTGACACCTGTGCAAATATAACCATGCATGTACATGATTGGACATGCATGTACATGTATCCACACATGCACACACACATGCACACACATGCACATGCACACACACATGCACACACACACACACACACACACACACACACACACTCAGACTCAGACTCATACGTACATGTATATGTACGTGGATTATGGGAAGGCAACGAAAAATGCACAGATCAGTCAACAACCGCTCGTGCATGAAATAGAAGGTACATCATTTTTAGTTACAGGTTCTACAGAGAGCGGAGTCCTCCGGTTCGATAGAGTGCTCAATGCGGAAGCAGAGCAGTAACACACGAGTCACAGAAAACCATCAGTTGTCTGAAGATTGCTATATGGCATGAAACTTTAAGTTACGACAATCAAGACGCGTGGTTTTCTGCGACTCGTGTAGTTACAGGTTCTACTATATACTCTGTGACTTACCACTCTTATCTACTGTATATTGTGTGACTTACCACTCTTATCTACTGTATATTGTGTGACTTACCACTCTTATCTACTGTATATTGTGTGACTTGCCACTCTTATCTACTGTATATTGTGTGACTTGCCACTCTGTATATTCTGTGACTTACCACTCTGATTTTGTAGTCAGTGATGAATATGAAGAGAAGAGAGACAAAGAGGCGCCGTAGAAGGTCAACAGAAAACCACCATGCTTTCCTTGGTTGAAAGCCATGGCCCAGAATCAAGACATCTTGGAATGGACGCAACCTCTGCATAGTGGCAGACAGGACACCAGCATTCCTTCATGAAAACACCCCGCTAACTGTGAGTTGAAACCCCTCTTCCTCTATGTTCATTTAACCGTGACAGTCATAACACTTTCAAGCACAGTGTAACATACACATGGACATATTGTATACTGTCACAACTTAATGTATATGGTCATAGACCATTCACAAATAATTGATCCCTGGTCCTTTTCAAGTCCCATTACCATGATCTACCACTGAGAAGTTTCTTTGGGGACATTCACGAACATTGATTTATTTTATTTCACTTCAACACAGAAGGTTCAATACAACTGATATAATACTGCAAGTTTCTACTTCCATAGCACAATTACTTCTAATCAACATGGAGCATAGCCAGCAATCACATGTCAAAATCAACATAATTTTGCGAATCGACCTTTTTTTCCCGCATCACTTTTCAACGAGGTCAAAGCAAAGTCGGCCGAATGAAGCCTAGTGGAAGAGAATCAACCTGTCCACTTCAACATCACGATGCTGACATAGGTACGAGACGAAACAACTCATGATTTATCTTTACCTGACCAAGCCTAACTCTACATAAGCAAATCATAATCAGGCCAAGTGATCTCGCTGGCCAGGATGACAAGGACGGCAAGAATGGCACTGTCTGCTAGCTGCGCCCACCACGCACATCATGCCTCCACACCTGACCAGCCGCTCGACACAACCAACAAACACACCGTCAAGCAGGTATTCACTGACAGCCGCAGCTGCCAACAACTCCGGCAGGTGCCTCTTCATGGCCGCTATTGGACTCATATTGATGGCATCCTGAACACACAGCTTTTGTTTTCGTCTTTCAGGTCTCAGAATCCGCAGCCCGAAACAGCAGAAGGCTTCCTTATTGCGTGCCGAGATCAGGTAATTGCCACCAGAAAGACAATTCGTTCAGAAAGTGGTGGACATCAGGTCACGAATTGCCACCAGAAAGACAATGTGCCATATTCACAACGAGGCAGGATGACACGGACCTGTGTCATGTACGCGGTGCGCTGGCTTTTAACACAGGTAAGGCCCACTTGCGGGAATGACGCTGATTGCTCGTTTCCTAGACGACAAGACTGACCAAGCCGCCTAACACTCAAGTTAAACTGGATAAGAGAAAGAAGATTTTAAACATCCACTTACTGTTGGTGCCTTTCCAATTGCTACAAGAAATGTAATAATTGGTACTGGCAACACCAAGAATGCAAGGATGAGGATGGCAATGATGCCAAAGATGAGATGCTTTTCTTGGCAGCATTTAATTGTCCCATCCAGGAAGAACACCTGAGTCTGCATAGTTAATCAGAAAATCACAACACAACACAACACAACACATCACAGTACATCACATCACATTCTCGAAACAACACAACACCATAAAACACCACACACGACATCACATCACATCACATCACATCACAACACAACACAACACAACAGTCAACACATCACAACACAACACAACACAGTAACATTAAAGTACAGACAGCACTGTGCAATGTAATTCAGTACAGCACGGCACGGCATAGCAGAGCAGGAGTGGATACATTCCAACAAGAGTACATAACCTCCCAGAGTGTCCAACGCCTGATCCAGCTCTGCATAGGGTCTTGGTCGAGCGTAATCGGATCTTTGCGTCATAATACCGTACACATCTGAGGGGAACCCGGGGAGTCGCGGGTACTCTCGGATCAAAAACAACGGTGCCCTGCGTCGAGACCGGCCTTGCGCTGGTGTGGAATGTACGCATGACATCAGAAGATCCGACTACGCTCGACCAAGACCTTAAGCAGAGCTGGATCAGGCGTTGCACACTCTGGAGGGTTATAGTCCATCAGCCAGTGGTGCCAAAGTGAGTCTCCTGTTGCACTTAAAAATCGAACACCTGGAACTGACATCAATCGACAGCAAAAGCATCACTGAATCCGACCTGCCTACTTTCCCTGGCGAAACTCTTGCACTCCTTTTGCAGTGCGCCTTAGAAGTTCGACAAATTTCTTCTTCTTCATCAGCCATTACGAGGTTTTCCATCCGTTTTATTAGGACATCCAATGCGTCTTCAGTGAAAAACGTGGAGTTTTGTCAACGTTTGGTGTGGTTTTCCGTGGCGATCGACCTAAAATCGCGAAATAAATCGCCGTCAATTTGAGCAGAGGTGAGTAGGCTTGGAGCACGTACAGATTCAAATAATTGTAGCGACCTCGCTGCATGACGTCAGCTCCCTCACCAGATATGCGCATGCGCATGACACATTTCTTCCTCTTTGCTCTAAAATAAACAACAACAACTAGACAAAGTTGCCCTCTCCTCGGAGTTGTAATTTATTAGGCCCCAGGGTGGTATGTCCCGGGATTCATCTGTCTCCCCCGTGAACAGATACGACCTCTGCCATCCTGGGTGCCTAAATTGGTGACCCCGACGTGATGCATCTCTTTTCGCTTTCTGCATTTTTCTCCTCTGTTTCGGCCATTGTTAGCCTCGTTAACAAACATTGGGTACGCCACATGCAGCGCTCTTTCTATTTCCTTGTTTTTTTCTCTGTCGTTCTCTGCGCTCCGCTTGTTCTCTGGTGGGGGAGTACTGTAGCGACCTCGCTGCATGACGTCAGCTCCCTCACCAGATATGCGCATGCGCATGACACATTTCTTCCTCTTTGCTCTAAAATAAACAACAACAACTAGACAAAGTTGCCCTCTCCTCGGAGTTGTAATTTATTAGGCCCCAGGGTGGTATGTCCCGGGATTCATCTGTCTCCCCCGTGAACAGATACGACCTCTGCCATCCTGGGTGCCTAAATAATATGCGTACATGCGCACCGGGAAGAAGATGAAGATGCTCGCCATTTTCAAACAACTAATAATATATTCAAAAAACAGTACGAGTCGAAATAGTGGTTGCGACTTCGGCGATGAGTTGAAGGTTCGATGGACTTCTCGGGTGCTCTGGATGGCAGTCGTGAGTCAGTCAAGTGTCAAGTCAAGTCGGCGGAATAGCGCGAGCTCCAGTGTGGGAGCAAACTCATTCCTTTTTCAAAAAACTACATGACTGTTGTACTGCAATTGTTGTAGTAACTTGTTTGCAACTACAATGGTATCAATAGGGAGGTTTCGCTCTACGTAATTACGTATGAAAATCCGTATGTCGTACGCGCCGGGGAGCGAGGGCAACTTTCATACGTAAATCTCTCTACGGATTTCCGTAGGAAAGCTCTTTCCTACCAGTCGATGCGCCAGAGCGAAAAAAAGCCCTTTTTTATTATCCCGGTCAGCTCATTTTGTACAGAGGTGAAGATGACGATTCCGTGAAGAAGTAATGGCTGACGTTGTCGAACATTCAGACCCACTGGAGGCGTTCCACAGCCTGGAGCCCGCCGATAAGGAATTCGATGTGACTTGAGTAAGTACTAAAGTGATCCGTAATATTTTTGGGGTCAGCTATTGAGCCATTGGGAAGTTTCGTGTTGTCGTTTTCTTACAGTACAGTCGTAGAAATTTCCTCCCTCCTTTGGTGTTCAGCCAGTAATGGACTCCATCAAATCTTACACAATATCCGAGATAGCAGAAAGATAGTCCTAACCAACCTGTGTAAGGATTTAGTCATGTCTATGTCCAGACCTACTGCTAACTCAAATGGCACGAAATGAAAGAATTTTTTTGTGATACGTGCAAAATTGACAAAAAAGGTATTTCATCACAACTATGTTCTAATATACCACAGGTTACACCAGTAGCTTACCTATATGTCAATAGATGGATTGTGTTCCCGGTATTCTCGCGTTTCCAGTGGAAGTATTGTCTTTCTGATGTTTCCATGTCCAATTAAGCTTAGAAAATGTGTGTATTTTGTGTATTTCATGCCAGAATTTGGTAGTGTATTCCAGGTTTCCATTCAATATTCCAGAAGTCTAGTAAAAAAATTGCACAGAAGCTCCATTCGTGCAGGCATTGGTTCATTCTTGGTCCGAGTCATTGCTGGATTCTTGCTCTTCATTATCTTTGCATGAATCACTGGAGCTGTCGCATTCTTCCCTGTCTTGACGTGTGTTTTCTGGATTCTGCAGGTCCTGCCCAGCCGGATTACTTGTCAATGGAGAAGCATTAGAGCTTTCAGAGGTATTGTTGCAAGTATGGCATTTGCACCCGGGCCCACATGGCTGATTTGCCTTTCTGCACTTGCATTGTTTGGTCTTGCAGCCAGACTTACACCCACAGCCTTTTGTTAGGCCTGCAACACGCTGGCTGACTGTTGCTAGATGTTCGTCAGTGTCCCACACCACGGCCAAGTTATTGGTTGTTGACCATCCATGATCTTGAAGAGGTGGGTAGATTATAGTACACTTTGTGGCTTGATTCCAAACAGCGATAACCCACAGGCATCGTTTCCAGTGCAGTTCCAGTGCAGTTGTAGATGGCACAGCATCATCTTCGGTATCTGTCCTTTGCCAAACAGTATCTCGTATGGCTTGGAGCCAGATGACATGATGCTCCATGTCCGTGACTGACGGGTTGCCTTTCTGTTTATATAGTCCATGCGGACCATTCGCATCGAAACCTGCGTTGTGCTTTTTGAAATACGCTGCTCCAACCAGACGGCAGAAGGCCAATAATGAGCAACTATCCATTGTGAGACTACCTGCAGCATCGCTGCCACCAGTGATGAAACTGGCATATTGCAGGAACGTTTTCAGGAACGTGGTCTTGCCGAGCCCACAGAAAAAGGAGATGTAATCACACCCGGTTGACACGTACATGGCTTGAACTGCTGCAAGTCGCAGTGACTCTGGGACCTTTGCAAGATCGGGATCATTTATGATGGACTCCGTGAACTTGCAAAGGTCCAAATAGCGATGCTGTGCTGAGCCTAGTACGCTCAGCTCCACAAAGACCCTCCGAGTTGCTTCATTATTTTCCGGCCGAGTCATGCCGACGTGATACGTGTCGGTATCCGGGCTGAACACCAGAACATTTTCGAAAATCCTGGCATGCAGCCATACCCGGGAATCTGCTTCCTCCGCATTCGACTGCAGATTTGGTAGTATGTATGCCTGGCTGGTGGTTGCCTGCACGCCAATGGCAGCATTAGGCCTGTTGCAGTGTCCACCTGCTGTGACAAACCACTGGAAATCAGTTACCATGGCATTCCTGGAAAGTGCCAAGCAGGCACTGCATAGAAACTCGATTAGAGATTTCTTGCACTCTCTGCAGGCCAAAAACTTGCGCCATCCATTTGGTAGGTGTGTTGCGTTCGTAATGTTCACAACGTGCTCATGGCACTCTTCCGTTTCGACACACCCATCTCTGCTTGCCCGCAGTAGGTCTTTCGGGCTAGGACCAGCGACATTCGGGGAGTCGAATACAAAGTGGATGCTTCCAACCTTCCGCATAAACCATGGTGCTACCCATCGATGCACAAGAAAGGCCGCGTAGTCACCGAAGGTCCGCTGTGATGCTAGTGGTGAAGTGTTTATGAGAAACATTGCATCGTAGATTACCACAGAAGTTGGCTTGCAGAAGTCCTGTGGTAGAGCATTGCTGACAATACCATCCCACCGTTCTTCGTACACCTTTGTGATTGTGCTCTTGACACCTTTTCTAGGAGTGATGCCGTCCTCTGTCAGTGCGCGTGGCGCGAGTAACAATTGTTCTCCAACACCACTTGCGTACTGCCCTTGAAACTGTGACCATGCCAGTCTGCGTTTTAAACAAGTAGTCACCAATTTGTGATCCCTCTCTTTCTGGCTGATAGGTCGTTTTCGTTTGGTAGCCGGCGCGAAGGTTCGAAGGCGCTGCTGTCTACGAGGAGGTGCTGACATAGGTACGTGCATTATTCGAGACTTCACATATGCCGTCAGTTCCGTTGTACCTGTTTCATAGAATGACAGCATGTCTACGCGCTGCTCATTGGTTGCCACTATTCCAGTAAAGATGTTTTGGAGACCTCGGTTGTTACTTGTGATGTTGAACACGCCAGCCTTTTGGACTAATGCCATTATTGCCTCAACATTTTCCTTTCGAATCCTGTCCTTTGTGCTGTCCGTTCTGCTAGGCTCTGTGGTGGGTTCATCCTCATCTGCTGCAAAGCGTAATTGCTCTTGGAAGTTGCTCAGCATGTGCGCACGGTGTGGTAGGTAGAATGTCATGCGGTCCACGTATGCAGAGTCTGTCTTTACCATTGCCATTTTCATGTCTCTATTTATACACATCTCGTGTGCTTCATCAAAAGCCACTGAGTTGAAATAGG